ACGCTGGGTTCTACGGGGGCGCGCACAGGACTCGAACCTTGGCGAACGTTAACGAAGACATAGCAGTACCGTTTGCACAAATACGAGCATTAGGAACGTCCAGTTTAACACCGCTCTCATTACCCGCGGGCTCCCAATACCCCACGTTCCCCTAATTTTGCAATTTTCGTCCATTATAGCTCAAGTTAAACTGGTAGATTTGAAGTGAAACAATTGACGACACCCGTCAATTGTTTCGAATTCGGGCTGGCCAATCGGAGCGCAGTTGTCACATTAATGATTTGGCAGAATAGTTTTAAAACAAATTAAATGACATTTCGTCTCTATTTCTGGTTATATATTCGATGGCCAGCAATAATCAATTACCAGGTCTAAAAGAAGTCTTAAACTGTAATATTACTAAACATCACCAACCTATTTACGGCCCACTGCTGGATAGAGATCTCGGAAGGTTTATAATAATAATAATAATAATGTACCAGATAGCCACATCAACTGCCTCGTCTCAAACTAGGGAATTCCCTGTACTATGATTACCAGAGCAACGGAATTCACTGTGGGGCACTTCCCAGGACCAGATCAGATCTAATTTAGAAATGTTCATATCCCAAATTAGTCCTACTGGAAATCGAACTCATCACTAGAAGAAACTCCTTTTAAACCGAGTAATTATTATTTGCCGTGCGAATTCTACACTTTCGTCGCCTACCTCAGCTCGAATTTAAAATTTCCCCGTACTTGTACGGTTCATTTTGCGGCAGGGACACTGGCTTTATTTCAGAATCTATATTTTTAAACAAATTAAATTAAAGTCATTTGAAAAATGTAGGTCGTATAGTATACGTGCTCTATTTAGTTCAGTTGATATAAAAAAAATTCATTGGTGTGAACTACCTATTGGTAGTTCACATATACCAATGATTTTTTTTTATATAGCGGATAATACAGCGGTTTTTTTGGTAAAATTCCGAGATTTGTGTGCGAGTGCGTACGCGTGCGTACGTGCGTGCGTGCGTGCGTACGTGCGTGCGTGCGTTAGTACGTGTGTGCGTCTTGGATACACTACACTTCTTATCCACTGCCCATGGTGCAAAGGTCTTCGTTTAAAATGATACCTCTTGTAACAGAGATCCTTCTCCAATATCCTGGTTGCATCATACAATTAAGTAGTTATCTTTATGTGAACGCTTCAGCGTTGGCTGTGCCACGACGCCCACCTCGTCTGCGAACTGATCTCCCAATGGAGCAGTGACAAGAGCAGTCCACTGCAGCAATCGCTGTGCGGTGCGTTGGTGTCGCCAAGACGTCTGGCACCCAATGACTGGCCTACCGTATACATTGCCTTACTGAGGTCCAAGCTCTCTGAACATGCAGTTTTTAGCTACTTATCTAAGGTAAGTTTGCTTTCTAGCACATATTTAGAGACATTAATAATATTTGTTTTTTGTATATAAACAACATCACATACGTTGTTCACATCCCAAAGTAACTTAAGCACTTGTGTTATGGATATCGGAAACAACGACCGTACCACAAACATCCAGACCGGAGACAATATAGAAAAGTTTTCTACATTCGCCCGGCCGGGGATCGCACCCAGGACCTCTGAGATGACGAGACCGTGAAAACTGGCAAGGCACTCGACCACAGAGGTCGTCAAAATTAATAATCATATAGTTTATATTAATAATAATAAAGAAACCCTTTACTTTACCGTACAATAAGCTGTATTTTTAAATACATTGTCACAAAGTTTGTGCAAATAGAAGAAACCGAAATAGGCTAGACGAAAAGTAGGAAAAGTTTGAAAAATTGGAAACATATAATTTCGAAGGCTCATATTATGTTTTACGTTTAGAAATATCTTTTGAAGTTTAATTTAGCGTGAATTATGAAATAAACTTGTATAGCTAAAAGACACTTAGAGAAAACTCGTTTTAAAATTTAAAATGATTTCACAACATCGAAAAAAAACCCTTATAATGGCTCCATCGTTTTCGTTCAGTAACTTCAACTTTTGACAACGTCAAATATGGAAAATTAAAGGAAACATTTTGGAAAAATATCCGAAAGAATATTATTTTTCTGAAAATTATGATTTTTTCAAAATGAAAATTTATCATTACCCAACACTAATCATAACACACCCTTAACATGGTGCATTTAGTTGATTTCGATCTCTAAATGTAGTTAAAACCAGCCAGGCTGAGAAAAGAAAAAAATATTATATCTTGTTGAGAGAATCTAACTTTGTTCTGTTCATTGACGCGTAGTTCGAGATATCGTGGTGGGCTGGACAGCCCGAGGCTCAACGGCGCGTTGTATTGGACGCTCTAGTGGCCGCTGCGCAGCGTTTCGGCAATGCACAACCGGAACACAACGTTTTGCTAGAGGTAATATTAATTGATTTCATGGATCTTTGGTTTGCAATATTTGTGCAATATTTGCATACTATCTGTTTTTTAACAGACTTAAATAAGGAGGTTTTCAATTCGTCTGTACTAACTGTGTATTTTTTTATGTATGTTACGCGATAACGATACGGCATTTGTGAACCGATTTTGATGATTCTTGTTTTGTTGGAAAGACCACCGCATTATAGGTCACCGCATTATGACATCTTTGAGTTTAGTGATATAACGCCATTTTAACATACGAAAACTGGAACATAATTATATAGTAGTTATCGAGTTCTTAGGTTTTCGCGATTGTTACGTATATTTGTTTTTTCAAACAAACCTACGTCGGTTTGTTTGAAAAAACAAATATACGCGATTTAAATCCGGAAAAATAGTTTCATTTCCTATATAGTAATTATGTTTCTTTTTTAGAATTAGAGAAAACGTAAACAAAGAAGCAGTGATCATGAACCTTTTTCTTCAGACAACAAATAAAAGCTAACGAAAACAACATGAAAATTGATGACAAATGACATTTTGTGAATGACTCTTTAATATGTTATTATTTTGTAAATACTTTCCGTTTAATGTTCGTAACCACTGCTTCATAACGTTTTTTTACCGACTTGAAAAAAGGAGGAAATTCTCAATTCAAATGTATTTTTTTGTATGTATGTTACGGGATAACTCGCTTGCGAACCGATTTTAATGATTCTTTTTTTATTGGAAAGAGGGTACCTCACTATTGGTCCCGTTTAAATTTGAAGGAAATATTCCACCTCTAAGAGTGGCAATCTAGAAGATGAATCCAGTTCTGCGTACTTTCCGGTACTTCAATAAAACTTTGCAAATAGATAGATAGAACCACGAAAGTTGGAGGTCGGTTTTTTAGTACTCTGAACTGAGATTATGTAATGTAGCCTTTATAGTTAAATCAAAACTATTGTGTGATTTTTTGATTTACGAAATGTTGTTTAAATTATAAATATGCGAATGTTGTTACTTCAACTCAATAATGCAGACATTTTCTCGTATTTGTTATCAGAATGTTGATAACTACAAGGTTTTGTGCATTTTCAATATTGGGTGTGGTAGAAAAAGCATAAAAAGGGTGAATCCTATAGAAATGAGAACGTTGCGTAATATGTGCGGTATTAGTCTTAAAGACAGAATGCCAAACAGTGTAGTAAGTGAGCGTTGTGGTATGAAAGATGATGTAGAGACCAGGATAGGAGATGCTTCTATAGCTTGGTCATGTAGAAAGAATGAATGTTCGTAGATTGACAAGGATTGGCGTACAACTCTCCATCTGAGAGTGGTTTGCGTGAATAACATAACTGGTTGATGAATCATATACCATCTCAGTCAGCCGTGACCATAGGACCTGCAAAGCGCCCGAAATGTTAGGGTGCGTACAGATCTGGCAAATGTGCCGCGAACGCGCTGCATGTGCGCTGCGTGCATACTGCTAGTGTTGAGTTTCTCATACACGAGGCAATGCGTTTGTACCACTCGCTTGGTTGGTTTGTCACAATACCTCATGTCATAAAAATGTCCCACCTCACACCTCACCTCATGTCATTGCTTCATGTCACAGCCTCACTCAAGTCACACTGCTTCGAATTCAACAAATGCAACAGTGATTGGTCATGCACTGCCCGCTTTTTAGCTGATTTTACATCATGTGATCATACTACCATAGTACTATAAAATAAGCATTAATTTATACTATATCATAACCTCAGTTATCCAATTAGTTGATATCATCAAGTTATGTGTTATGTGCTTAATATTCTGTCTATTAAGTCATTGCCTCATTTGAAGTAGGACATTGTACCGCCTCATTTTTTCAAATGAGGTACCTACACCCTCAAACTCATTTTAATTTCATGTCCTACCCAACACTACATACTGCATGCGTGCAATTAAATACAAGTTAATTTACAACGCGTTGTCGCACAATGTGATGCTCGTGTGCAGTTCGCGAGCCTTTCGCAAACAGGCGCATTCGCGTCACATCCGTCATATCTGTACGCTCCCTGAATTTGTTTGAAAAAACAAATATACCCGATCTAACTCCAGAAATAATAGCTTCATATCCAATTAGCTAAATAATTTTTTTATAAATTATGGTTTGATCGCTACAACTGGTTTTTATTAATTTATTGCTTAATGAAATATTGTTTCACAGTTAATAGGCGTCCACACGGCAACGTTGTTAAATTCGACAGAACTCTGCGCGCACATAACGCAGTGCACAATTGCGTCAGTCGCAGCGTCGCTGCCGCCGACGCATTGGACGCACATCGTTCGAGCTGTTCAATCGAATGCCAGAGACGTGACGTTTGATCAGGTAAGGTTTTTTGTCGGTTTTATTTGACAAACAAAATCATGTAATGCATAAATAATATTATAAAACATTACATATTGTTATTAAAAACAAATTAGTAAATCTAATTATAATCTTACTAATTTAAAGTTACGTCACGTACTTCCAAGCGACATTGTTAAAGCCTTTAAATCGATAGACATTAAAAATACTGCTGATCTTGATGGTCTTTTCGTCAAAGTAATTAATTCTGTAGTTGATTGTATTTCACCTTACTTAGCTTGTGTTTTTAACAAATTTGTTGATGATGGGTTTTTCCGTGACCTCGTGAAAAACAAGCAAAGCAAAGTTATCCCACTTTTTAAATCTGGTAGTAATTCAGACCCCACCAATTTCAGACCTTATTTCAATACTGAATGTAAAAAATTTTAAAAAATTATTCTAAATCAGATGTGTGCACATTTTTACATTAATAATTTAATGTCTCCTAAACAATTTGGTTTCACTCGGGATCGTTCTACAACCGATGCTGGTGTGGAGTTGATAAAACATATCGACCCCTCCGACGTAAAGTATCGTATGTCGAAATTGCCAAGTTTACAGAGGAGCCTTTTAAATATTCTGAATTCACTGAAATAAGCACAACACGTGACTTTAGCATTTTTCAGTTTTACTCGACAAAGCTCGTTACTCACATAGAGTATTATAAAATCCTAGATATCGGTTAGATGATGTATTAGATGATCACTCTATTTGAGTAACGAGCTTTGCCGAATAAAACGGAGAACTTTAAAACGCTTCCCTGTAAACTTGGCAATTTCGACATACGATACTTTACGTAGGAGGGGTCGATGTATTTCATGCATGGGAAGACTCACATGATGCTAATGCTATTCTGTGACCTTTCCAAGGCTTTTGATTGTGTGCACCATGATACTCTTGTCCCATATGCCTGTAATTTCACTAGCATCCTTACCCTTCAAATGCGGAAAACACAGTAATGCTGTCATTATTGCTTGGCGGCAGAAATAGGTAAGGTGGTACTTCCCTGGACGAACTGTTTCACCAGGAGCTCTACTGCTACTGAAAAATTGTGGATTATGGAGTTACACCACCTGTCCTACTATACTATGGTGATAGTGATAGGTTTTTGATGGTCACGAGCTTGATGTAAGCTTTAAAGAACATTTTTGTATTCCCAGCTCGGCCACCTACTTCGAGAACTAGGCGTCATGTGGTGGGACGCGCGCACGCAGTTGAAAGCTAATAAGAATATCAACTACGAAGTGTACGCGCCGTACATCGCCGATCTTGTGCGCACGTTGCACCGCACATTTGTCGCAGCCGCTGTTGCGTTGAGCTATTCTCCCGAGAGAGGTAAATGGAGAAGCTACACTATCTGTCTTGTTGCAAGATGAACTTCCATTAAAGTGACGGCTCGGCAAGGGATCCTTCGGCTTCCCTACATACTAGCTAGCTACACGCTTCAGGTCAATCTTGCCGTGGGTGCCTCCCCTCATAGCTCATAGTCTCACTCGGCCTTCCGAAGCATCCCGAAGGCTGCCGAAGCATTTCGGAGGCTGACTGCTCGGCATCCCTAAGCGTACCGCAGCTTTATTTTGCAGCTGCGATAATGATCATTGAAATTGCAATTATAATGTTATAATCTTAAGGTATACTACTATTCGTCATCTAAAAATCCCGTGCCGCCCCGTATAAGCCGGCATAATATCTAAATCTGATCTTGAAAATCGTGTTGTCGACGAAAATACGATTACACGTTACAACGTGGTACACGAATATATTACTATACTAAGTTGATGTTCAAAACTTGTCATTTACGACTCTTAAACCTACATTGAAACAAAAACTTTCTATCAATTAATCAATCAAATAATATGTTTTGCGTACGCGCGTCTAGAAGGTCAATAGTAATGTTACTCTGCTATAAAATTAGCAATACTTACTAACACAACAATTTTGTTGTATCACTAAGTATTGCCAATTTTATGGCATACAATTTACTTAATTAAATTAATTTAAGAGAATGTGAGTTCTAAGTTTTAATGACAAAATGTCAAATCTTAATTTTAAATTAAATTCTTAATAATCTCTTTGCAATAGAGGTTTTTATACAGCTTCTGCGTACTCGGATGAGAAAAATCAAAGCAGTGACACGTGCTCTTGCAGGGTGTCTCGATGTATGGTATTTTAAATAAATATTGTAAATGATAAATATATGTTTATTTACAAAGTCAACCCGCATTGGGCCAGTGTGGTGGACTATGGCCTAAACCCTCGTCTGAAAGGAGACCCGTGCCCAGCACTGGGACGTATAAAAGGGTTGATGATGATGGTGATGATTTACAAAGAGCAACTCTGTAATTCTGTTAAGTGTGTAAAGCCATTAATAGTAATATAATCTTAGTAATCTAGAGTTGTAGAGTTTAATCAATGCGACGATTTCAAGCAGTGAGTATAAATAAATAATACCAGAGACGCAATGTCCTACTAACAGTTGTCTAAAATGTTGCAAATTTAAAGACTAGCTTTGAAACTGATTGAAATTTCAAAGAAAAATATATTTGTCTCTTTTTTCTAATGTCAAACTTATTATGTCAAAATGAGATAGTCATAGTTCATTAAGGGATCCGACCAGTGTTACCGGCTTAGAAACAATTTTCCCTAATTTCTTGTAGCTTTACTGGTGAAAAGAGACAGTTGAGATAGATAGTAATCGGAAATGGAATGAACGAGTGAGTGAAATATACATGAAAATGTATGAACTTAAGGGTCCACGCCTGGAATTCATAGTTCTTTTAAAATTATGAAGAAGTGACTTTCTAATTCATTGCTTTTCTAGTATTTTTTATTTATTGGATAAAGGTGATAAAAATACTGTCTTCCGATAAAGTCTCTGTTTCTATTTAACGAAAATAATTTATACAAGGGTAGGTTACAAATTACTTGATACACAAATATTTAACTATACTTTATTATTGCACCATTAGCTTGTACAATTGCCTTGTGTTTTGTTACTCAAAGCATCTTTTCGTAAAAGTCGTATAATGTTTAACCACTCCACCCTGCGCGTTCGCTCTTTAGGTATACTGGGAAACAAACAAAATATCATTTTTAATAGTATTACGTATTAATAGTATTATGGTTACACTTTACGTTAAAACGTTACAACGAATAAACTTGATTTAAAACTCCCAATATTATGGGCAAATGAAAATTGATGTACTGGCAACATTGATGTTTAAAATAAATTTATTTCATTTTTATTTTTATTTACTACAATCTAAACAAACAAAAACAAACTTATGCGTGGAAAGTAACCTCAGTAGTTTTATGATCATTTTCGAACCAAGAATTACAAATTTTAATTACATATTTTACCATTTTTGATACTTTTATGTCACGGTGACGTTGTACTCACTCGAATTCAATATGGTGACTGATGTCACCTTCACAGTTGCCTGTAGACAACAGCGCCGTGGGGCCGTTTGAAGGCGCAGATTGCGCATCTATTGTTTACAAGTATTTTATTATTAACAACAGCTTAGGTCTTAAATAAGAAGATACCTTGTTTAAGTAATTGTATTAACATTGTCTTCAGTGGCTCTATACGCTTGGTCGTCGCTGCTGGAGTCGTGGTCCGCGTGGGTGAGCCCGCACTGCACTGCGGCACCGCTGTTGTCGTCCACCGGCGAACACGAGGCCTACACGCCCATGCTGCGGCGATTTGTCGATAGCGTTCACCAGATCATTCTCGACTGTCCCGGTAAAGTTTCTTAACTCTATTTTACTTGGTTTCTATATGGTATATATTTATATAATCGAAATTAAAAAGTATATATAATGGTAAACTAGAAAGTATCAGTTTTTCATGTAACAAATAAAATTAGAGTTATGATTCTTGTTTCTTAAAAAAAAAATACTTTCAATCACGCTCCTGTACTATTTTCCAAATGCACGTTAGACGTTTCGCCTTTTCCGGTGTTGAATATATTTTACCTGATTAAGAATGCAAATTGGTTGAGGGTTTTTTTACAGACCTCTTGTGAAAGGTCTCATATATATTTTAGTTATATTTATTTATTTGGCAAACCAATAGAATTATATATAATGCTTATACTAGAGGTTACATTCTGCATTGTTCCTATATGTATTCCAGTTACAGGTAAGGTCCCAGGTTCGATTCCCGGGTCGGCAGAAATATTTGTATGTATATAATGTAGGCCATTTATTTCTCTCGTGAGTTTGGGTGTAATTTGTGGTTGTCTATGCATGTGTCCATGGCACCCGCGACACAAGGTTTCCCTAGTGCTATGTTGAGTGAGTGTGTTATTATTATTAAAAAAAGTGCAATAGTAAAAACCAATCGATTAGTTAGTTATAAAAATACTTTAGTATTTATGTTTAAATTTTAGTTTCTAGTAAAGCTGTGATACATCAACAGAACTCAAGTATAGCCCATAAATAAATAAAAAAGCATCCATTCCCACTGAGCTACCATGTATCTAATCAAACCGTTTTACCAAATAGGCACCGAAGAACGCTTGCTCCAACAAATCTTCGATTGGACATTGCAAACCTACGCCAGTGTGAACAACAGTCCATTGCAGGAGAGTCGCGTGCAGCTCTCAGCGATGCTCGTCGAGCTGACGAACCTGCCTTGGACCGAACACCAGTGGATGTGTGACAGTAGTCTGCAGATTGCTTTGCAGGTAACGCATCTTCATATATGTAGTGTATTGACATAATGTACCATAGACAATATATGTCACACTGCCGCCCGCCGTTCCTGCCATGACGACACGAGACAGTGGCGTGAGCGGGCGTGTATCGCACGTGTACGTGAAGCAACAAACGTTGTTTTATTGAGCTAACCCCGTACAAATGCCACAATATATATGATTTAAATTAATAGAAATAGTGATCCAACCGCACGGGATATATCTCTGTTTTGAAAATGAACAAAAGTGTTCTACTTCTTTGTTATAACTTAAAGTCGAGTGTCGTTCTCTCTTTTTCCCAGAGATAAGAGATAAATACAACTTTTTAGGGCTATCTTGTGAAATGAATTTACTGTTTATTCACAGATAGCAGCAACTAAAGATAAAGAAATAACATCGTGGTGCTCGTCGACCTGGAAGAGTACTTTAGCGGCGACATGGCTTCGTGACGTCACAGATGACACTATAGCATCGCGTCTCGCCGCGCTGCTGTATTTGTTCAGCAGTATGACACACTCGCCACAGGTTGGTCACCGCACTATGACATCTTTGAATTTAGTGATGTGACGCCATTTTAACATACGAAAACTGAAACATAACTCTATCTTCCGTCTTTTTACAATTAGAAAAAACGTAAACAGTGAAGCAGTTATGATAAACCTTTTTCTTCAGACAACAAATAATAGTTAACGAAAACATCATGAGAATTGGTGACAAATGAGATTTTGTGAATGACAGGTTAATTAGTACATTATTGCAGAGGCCGGGGCCTTGTATTAATACGAGTCAAGTAATCCCCGTTCCATCGGAGGCATGTACAGAATTTTTCTCAAACAGTACAAGGAAAGAATAAAATACTAAAGAGGGGAAGAATAATGGTAAAAGTAAAAAAATAATAATTAACTTTAAATTGACTTTAAAATTTGTACAATACAATTACTAAAAGAAAATGTTATTGTTTTTCCGGGCATATTTATAGTGGTCTGCTGAACTTCTGATGATGTGTTTGAATGTGTATCTATTATCATTATCGCTCTTCTCACTGGCACTCATTTTCGCGCCAAAATACAAAAAAGACGAAACAACAAACAAATACCAAAACACTTTTGTTTAAATGTTACCGCATTTTCTTTTTTTTTAAGTAAGCCGTATAGGTAGGTATTTTTAATTCTCGCAACTATGAACACTGGGCAGTTGGTTGTATGAGTTTTTCTTTCGCCTGTTTACATAGTTCATTATTAGTAGGTAGATTTAAAAGTTTAGAGAAAAGGACAGTTTTGTTTTTTCACACTTATTTTGCAGGCCTTGGGCAAGAAGAAGTCGCACGGTCCATAAATGACAAACGTTCCGTGTTCGTTTTTTGAAAGTAATGCAAACATTTCCGAGCATGTTTAAGAAAGTGTTATTATTTTAGAAATACTTTCCATTTAATGTTCGCAATCTCTGATTCATAAGTTTTTTAACCGACTTCAAAAAATTGTTTTTTGTATGTATGTTACGCGATAAGTAAAAAAATTTGTGTACCGACTTTGGTGAGTCTTTTTTGTCGGAAAGAGGGTACCGCAGTATTGGTCCCGTTTATTTAGAAAATATTCCACCTCTAAGAGTCGACACACAAAAATGACGATGCGACGTCGTGTCGCAGAAATCTGCGAGCTCGCATGACGCATCGCAAGAATTTGCGATTTGCTCCGCATCGCGCATGCTGCGATGTTAAATTTTTTTTGTGTTTTTTTCCTATATACTTTCTTATAATAGCAGCACAACACTCTTTTTACGATCCATGTCGCTACCTAGTTTAAAAGATGCGTTCAGTACCGTTGACGATGGTCGAAGGAATTGTTACCCGAGCCGTGGCGGTGAGATGGTTTGCCGCTGGAAATCGCACCGCAGCAATTTGTCGCATTTTTCTGCTTTGCGAATTCTCATCGCGCCGTTTCCCACTTTCGTGTTTCGACCCTTAGGAATGGAAACTCGAGGATTAATCTGGTTTCGCGCACTTTCCGGTAACCGATTTCAATAAAACTTTGCAAATAGATGTAATTTCACGAGCTTTTGAGGTCGGTTTTTTTAGTACTCTATACTGAGATTATTTTAGTGCAAGTTTTTAAATTAAATCAAGTATGTAACGATAGAAATAAAATTCGTTAATTAATTATGCCCCACATAACACCAACTCTAAACTATACTTGTCTACAGACATTAGAAGAAGCAACATACCTGCCGTGGTGGCGACTGCCGGCGGCGGCGCTCGACGAGGCATTGGACCGGTTCTTCTCCCAATACTACAATCCATCTATACCCTACCACGAGGTCTTGCAATTCAGGTACGTGGTCTTCTAGTTGCAGAAGGAATTATAACGTATATGACAATCTTCTTCTACTTGTTATCGTATCTTATCGGCACTTCACATGGCTACTTGTATTCGTTATTGGGTGTTTGATATACTTGTAAAAATATTTGACGCACAGACAAACATGCAGACACTGACAAATATGACCGTCTACACATGAAGCCAAATGAGGACTTAAAATAATGAATGTGGCCATAGTGTGGACGGTTTACTTGCGTATTTGACTATTTGGCTCATTTAATGTGTGTCGAGCAACCGACCTGCGCGTGGTAACGCGAGTTTGGTGTTTACTGTATTTGCCGAATAGGCAAACAACCGTATGATATAATTAAAAAAAATTATTGATAAACATCATTGTGAATTTGGTGGTCATGTAATTATAAAGATAATATTTTTTTGCATTACTTTCAAAAAACGAACACGGGAAGTTTGTTCTTTTAAATCTACCTACTAATAATGAACTACATAAACAGGCAAAAGAAAAACTCATACAAACAACTTCCCAGTGTTCATAGTTGCGAGAATTAAAAATACCTACCTATACAGCTTACTTAAAAAAAAAGAAAATGATGGTAGCATTTAAACTAAAGTGTTTTGGTATTCTTTTGTTTTTTCGTCTGTATTTTGGTCGCGAAAATGAGTGCCAGTGAGAAGAGCGGTAATGATAATAGATAAACATTCAAACACATCGTCAGAAGTTCAGCAGACTACTATTAATGTGCCTGGAAAAACAATAACTTTTCTTTTAGCAATTGTCCTAGCCCGTCAAATATTACTTTTAATATTAACTAATATTTTTTACTTTCTCTATTATACATTTTCCTCTCTTCAGTCTTGTATTATTTCCTCACATTGTTTGAGAAAAATACTATACATGCCTCAGAGGGAGCGGGGATTGCTTGACTCGTATGAATACAAGGACTCCCTGGCACTCGTCCTTGCAATTATACTCGTCCAGCAATCCCTTACTTCCCGACCTATGCAATAATGTACTATTACATAATTATATTCTAAAAGAGACGAAAGAGAGAAGTCGTAGAAATGTTAGAACATTTATGTACTTAAAGATGTCGTGGGCCGTCCTTTATGTAGTAGACTCTCATGAACTACTTGTATATATATTATACTATGGTTTTAGTGTTATAGTTTTTAACCGACTTGAAAAAAGGAGGAGGTTCATAATTCAACTGTATTTTTTTGTATTTGTGTTACGCGATGACTCATTTGTGAACCGATTTTGATAATTTCTTTTTTGTTGAAAAGAGGATACCTCAGAAGTGGTCCCGTTTAAACTTGAAGAAAATATTCCACCTCTAAGGGTGACAAACGACCTTTGAGGCCGGTTTTTTACTACTCTGTACTGAGATAATGTGTTATATACATTTAATTTTTCGAACCAGAGTGCTTCTGTATGCAAGCGAGCTCATAATTCGCCCGGAGTGGCTCCCACCGTCCACGTGCAGCGCAGCGTCTCGTGTGAAGCGAGGCTCCGCCATCTCTCTGTGGGTGCGCGCCGCCTGCGCACCTGCGCTCTCCGCGCACGTTTGCGGACACTCCACTGCTGTGCTGAGTGCCCTTACTGACATTGGTAAGTTCATCTTCTCAAGTATGCTCGGAAATGTTTGCATTATTTAAAAAAAAAACGATCACGGTAAATTGATCATTTATGGACCATGCGGCTTCTTTCCGGCCAAATCCAATGAAAATCCATAACTGTCCGCTGCTCTAATTATATCTATCTACTAAGAATGAACCATATAAATAGGCAAAAAAAACTCATACAGTCAACTACCCAGTGCTCTTAATTGCTAGAATTAAAACTGCCTTCCTCAACCGCTGACTTAAAAAAAAGAAAATGGTGGTAAAATCAACTAAAATGCTGCGGTAGTTTGTTTTTTTTTTCGTTTTTTTTCTATTTTCTTCGCGAAAATGTTTCTAGTGACACAGTCAAGCAACTGCTATGGACAGGCATGTCATTTACCACCAGACTTACGACTTGTTCGTCTCGTTACTTGGTTTTATAAAAAAAGTTTTCAACGAAAATCAGTAAAAATAAAGTATGTACAAAAGCGTTTACGAGGTCTACTTATACTTACTAGGTACTTTAAGGCCACGGTTTTAATGATCATTGTATCCACAGCGCCACACATCGCAACGTCAGAGGGTGAAATAGAAGAGTTGCTCGGACGTGCGGTGATCATAATGTGCATGGAACCAGCGGCGTCCGCTGCGTTGCCGGTTTGTACTATTATCATACTATAAGGATGAGACCGAGAGGCAATAGAAAAGACGATCATTGGATTCGATGTAACATTTAATACTACTCATCGATTCAAGTACATGGGTATATTATAGGTGATACATAATAGTTATGATTAACAAGTGGCTATATTACACCTCACGCCCCTTGCGAAAGAAAAGTCTTATATATTTAATCAATGATATTATACTTTGTTACTCATGCTCACTTAATTTAGAAAGATTAATTAATGATATTAATGTAAAACTCTAGTAACGCATAAAACAAGAATGTTATCATTACAAATAACTATAAGATATGTTACAGCCGTTCTTATTATAATCTATTTATAATCTGCTGGCACTATAGGTCTATTTTAAGAGGAATATATGTAAATAATTGCTATTTCATGTATGACTGTTTGTTGCCACAAATAAATGAAAAAAAAAAGAAAGACAAAAAGTTAATAATACAAGACAACTATTTTTTAGTATAATGTAATTTCTAAATATATGTATTATATTTAAATCTAACGTATACAATATTATTTAAAATACATTTTAGTTTGATTTTTGTGTAACAACATCTCTTTTCCTTTATATAAAATTGATACATTGCGTTTGCTTATCCTGTATTAATTTATTGTCCATATTTCCATTTCGTAGCAAAATTTTGTCGCTTGACTTGTACATAATCGACTTCACATAAGTGTCGTAGTAACCTTTCCTTTTTAGTAAAAGTAAACTTACTTTTCACAATGTTAGTTTTAGCATCATATTGTGCCTTTTGCACATTGACTTACAAATAAATGGACGACGATTCTAATACAAAAACCACGAAAAAAATGTCCCAAGTCAACCTATTTAAACGTAGTGACATGTAAAGGAATATGAAAAAGCTAAAACGTTGAATTTAAATTGTAATGTCATCGCAGTACTGTCTAATTTTGCTTGCTTCGCTGTCAGTCGAACAAACGAAGACTACAGCGTGAATGACGCTCTGTATACGATTTTAACGCCCTATATGTTCGGACACTTTTTAGCGCGGACCCGACGTCCGTATAATTGTAAGTCAATACTTTTACAGTCTATATTTAAGTTGTAATGGATAGTCATCGTAATTGTACAATGGTTCGACTACATTATTTAAATTACAAGGAATCTGGCATGATTTACCAAATACAAGCTCGTAGGGAGTGTATCTAGTTTCAGTGTGTACTGTACTATTGTATGAGAAACACCAATAGGGTAACCATGAACTCCAATTAGATGGATTATTTTTTGTTTGAATTCTGAAAAATGCTGTCAAATGTTTTTGATTATTTTCAAGTGAACCTAATTGTTTGGTGATGGTAGACTGTAGAATTCAATTGTTCTATTTTGAATAATTTGCAGACCTTTTGCATCACTACAATATATTCGCTTCCTTTATCCGTAACAATTTTACCTGGAATTCCGTAACGAAGTATAAAATTATTGACAAAACTTGATGCTATTGTAACCGTGTCTTTAGACTGAAGTGGGTAGGCCTCGACGAATTTCGTCAAGTCGCATTGAACTGTTAAAATGTACCTGTAGTTACTGCTGTCACTTACCAATGGACCCACTGCGCCTAAAAATACTTTATCAAAAGCGCACTTACTCGTATCCGTCACCATCCGTTCTTTCGTATCCTTACCGTATTTATTTCTTTGACATTTGTCACATTTTTTTACAAATTCTGTGACGTCTTTCTCCGTAACTGTCCAAAAATAATTTCTACGTAAATTATTCGGCATTCGACGAATACCAGCATGACCACTTGTGGGCAGCATGTGGTTATCGTTCAGCAATATCCTTTTCATGTCGTTGTCATTTATTTTCTTTATTCCTCTCACAATACATGCGCGGTCCGGACCACTGTGGCATTTTATTTATTATTTGAGTTAACTCTTGTATAAATATATTATTATTTTCATCTTTTACTATATACATTTTATCTATATTTATTTTTTTTACACAATAACCCTAATTCCCTTACGAGGACTTCTCGAGTGCAACATGATCGGGTGTTAGGTTTTACGTAAAAAGTTAAATCATTAAAATACTAATTATGAACTACTTCACTCAAATTTTTTTTTTTTATAATTCAAAACCTGTTCACATTCGCACTTTACTTGAAAACCGATCTCGCAACGTCGCGAGATCCTGGCATGGTCGCCATATAAGGATGGGACCGAGAAGCAACAGAAAACACCATCATTCGGTTCGATGTAACATTTAATACTACTCATCGATTAAAGTACATGAGTATATTATAGGTAGATACATAATACTTATGATTAACAAGTGGCTATACACCTCAACATTACTTATACCATTTTTGTCTATAGTACGTAGTAGAGTACCAATGTCTATAGTATGAATCAGAATTAGATGTCTTAAACGTAAACAGTAACCGAGCAAAAATCTACATTTTAAATTTCTATTTTTGTCGATAATAAATAAATAAACAAATAAATAAATAAATATTAGACAACATCACATACAGTGTTCTGTCCTCAAAGTAAGTCGCTAAAGCACTTGTGTCATGGAAATCAGAAACAACGATGGTACCCCAAACACCCAGACCCGAGACAATAGAAAAGTTTCGTTTCGTTACTTAGTTTCTACACTGGGATCGAACCCGGGACCTCAGAGATGGCGAAATCATGAAAACCGGTGTGCAAACCACTCGACCACGGTGGCCATCACATAAATAACAATAAACGTTTACGTGATAAAACTTACAACAATTCACGTTTTGCAATGTATATTTTTACTTAATTTCGTTTTATAGAATGGTCATAACAAAAAAACTTTGTTTATGGTCGTAAATAATTTTATGACAGTGGTAACACAATCGGGATCAAAAATATTTTTTATGTCGCCATTTGGTCGCATCATAGATGTCATTCGTGCTTCGTTTCTATATATAGTTGTAGAAAATGAGAACCTCCTCCTTGTCCAATTTCGTTAGAAATAGAAGGTTTAACACACCTGCATTCACACTTTGACAACGACATTCCATGACATTTCTTTGTTTACATTTTGGACGTCTAATTATGATTCATAGTGTAAACAATGGGTGACGGAGTGGTTAAAAGCACCAAATATTCATTAAGTACTGATTACCGAAAATAGTTTTACTACATTTTTTTACAAGCATATTTAAGTACTGCCACCTTATCTATTTCTGCCGCCAAGTAGTAATGTCGGCATTACTGCGTTCCGGTTATGAAGGGTAAGAGCGCTGGTGAAATTACAGGCACCGGGGACTTGTCAACTTATGTCTCAAAGTGACGGCGCAGTGGCAGTGCCCCTCAGATCTTTGCCGTTTAAAGCATTCAGTGGTACTGCAACTGCTATGGATAATTACTACCTGGTGGGCGACTTGTTCGTCCCGTCACTGGATCTTATAAAAGAAACATATACATAAATTAATGGCAATATTTCAGATATGGCAAGAATGGGTATTCACAACGACCCCGCGTATGGTCAAAGCGTGCATATCTGCTGCTTCGATACTCACCACGTTTGAGTATTTTGCCGCGTTAGCCGACGTCGCTGTGAAAGCTCACCTCGCGCAAAAGGGTAAGAAATCAGTTAAATAATTAAAATAACTAATTAAACCTGCAATTAAACTTGGAAATACTATGCGTGTAAATACTCTCGTCCGATCCTCTTAACGGGGACACTCACGGGGTTTTAGGAGTTCGTCCAGGTAAGTACTGCCACCTTACCTATTTCTGCCGCCAAGCAGTAATGTCAGCATTACTGTGTTCTGGTTTTCAAGGGTAAAGGTGCTGGTGAAATGACAGATACGAGACTTGTCAACTTATGTCTCAGGGTGCTGGGCTCAATGGTAGTGCCCCTCAGATTATTGAGATTTAAAGCTCTGAGTGGCACTGCAAGTGTTATGGACAGGCGTATTGCCTACCATCAGGCGCGCGTCATTTGATATTATATTTAAAAAACAAACTTTAAATAAAACGGCTCTTTTCATCATTTTTAACGACGTCGTCTATCCATCAAATTTAATTCGCAACAAGAACATAAGTCAATACTATGCCATCGTTACAAGGTGCAAAGTAACTTGTTAACAACATTTAAAGAGGTTAGAAACGAAATAGAAACAATAATTTACAGAGTCCACAGGCTGGTCAGAAATAAGCCAGCGCTGGCAGTCGTGCCACTGGGTGGAGGCGGCGCCTTTAGCGGCGCGGGCGCGTCTGCACGCCGCGTACGCGGTGCTGCGCACGCACACGCAACCTTACGAAGGGCTGAGGTCTACTTTGCTGGCGTTACTGGCTGCGAAGATTAACTTGTGAGTTTGTTAAGCATTGTTTAGCATGTTCATTACTATCATAATTATCACATAGTTATGGGAAAACTGTGTACAGTTCTCTGCATGTCTTTTTTTGGAAAATTTAAACAACTATAAAGGCGAAAGGGGCGTAATTAAATAAAATAATCTGATCGAAAGCATAATCCAGGGATAGGTAGATAGATAGATAACTATTTTATCGCTTACACACAAACTGCCTCTGTGGCCGAACGGTTTCCATGCCACACTCAAATAATTCGACGTCGTATGAGTACTGAGATAGTCCTATCGTTCCAGCGTGGAAGAGGAGGCAGTGATAGCCACGTGGATCTGCTCGGCGAGCCGCGTGGCGCGCGAGTGCCCCTCACAAGGCGAGGCCGCCGAGTGCTCGGGAGCCGCTCGGACGCTGCTGGCGCGCTGGGCCGAGGACGCCAGGCGCTCGCTGCTCAGGGTCGTCACTCTCCAGACTGATCCCACTGCGCCTACGCCGCAGTAAGTAACATTGCACATTCTCTATTTCTTTTTTAATTTTCTCCTTTTGGTATAAAAATAGTACATAGTTGTATTAAGGGCGGTAAATAAGGAATTACGAACGAGACTCTATTAAAAGCCCGAAGTCGAAGTCTGAGGGCTTTCGGAGTCGAGGCTCGTGGTTCCCATACCGCCCGTGAAACTTACGGTGTTCATCATCTTTTTTTTTCATTTCATCAAAAAGTAAAAATTTAGTTTTGCAACACAAATTTAAATGAAATTGTTAATTTTCTGTCATTTAGCTTTGTTTAAATGAAATATTTGCTTAACTCTTATGTGAATAAATAACGCACACACTCAACATAGCCCCGCACTAGGGAAACCCTGTGTCGCGGGTGCCATGGACACACACATAGACAACCACAAATTACACCCAAACTCACGAGAGAAATAAATGTACGCCATACAAACATTTCTCCCGGCCCGGGAATCGAACCTGGGACCTCTGCGTGGCAGTCCGGCATGGTAACCGTTCGGCCACGGAGGCAGTTAAATAATTCTTGTCGTAGTCATTGTTTTCAGAATATTTTATCCGTAGGCCTGGAGACCTATAGCACAGGGTATCCTAGTTTGGGCTCCAGGTTTTACAGACAACAAATGTTTTGGTTTACAACATAATGTTGTAGTATTGTTATAGAGTTGTGTGTGAAGGAAATAAACTTTATTATTATTATTATCACATTTGCAAATAAATAGTATTATTGCATGCAGGCTAACTTGACTACAATGCCCCAAATAACACCCTCGGGCCTTTTTCTTCTCTTTACAGCCATGGTCGTGTAATGAGAAAAAAGACCCGAGGGTTTTATTTGGGGCATTATACTTAAGTTAGCCTGCATGCAATCATACTATTTACTTGCAAATGTGATAATAATAATAATAAAGTTTATTTCCTTCACACACAGCTTTATTACAATACTACAACATTATGTTGCAAATATGATGAAAATATTATTACTCTTTATAAAGACACAACTAAATTAAATGTGACTTATAATAGAACTAAACGGCATAATTATAGTAGGTTTTGTCTTTTTGGGGAGAAATAAAGAAATTATTATTCTTACAGACATCGTCTCCTCTGTCGCCTAGCACTCTGCATAATCCTAACCAACGACGTGACGAAGCGAGCCTACGAAACTTCCTGCTCAAGCGTCCTTGACTCCAACCAAGACGTATACAACTGGGGACGGAACCCTTACCCGAAGAGATTGCCTCGTTTAGCAATAAGATTGTACCCCACTGCTGAACGTTACTTTAAGGATGAGCTAGATATGGCACCTGAGTCTGTATAACATTAGATAGAGCCTTTTTATAAAGTTGGTAGAAACTCGTTAAAGGTGGCTTATCCAGCAATGACTTAACAAATTGTCACTGATGTCGCGCTTCAATTGTGTTATACATTTCCAATATTGCAGCGTTTGAGATCCCGACATTATACCCGTGGGGCTTCAACATTATGTCCGTAGGGTCTCGACATTATGCCCGTGGGGGTTCGCACTGTACTGGAAGGGGCCCGCGCTATACCTATGGGGATCCGACATCATGCCCATAGGAGCTCGACATTAAGCCCGTGGGGTCTCGACATTATGCCCGTGGGGGTTCGCACTGTGCTGGAGGGGGTCCGCACTTTACATGTGGGAGATCCGACATTACGCCCATGGGGGCTCATAATGTGGAGCCTGTGGGGGTTGGCGGACACAGGAAATGAAACAAATTTCATCGCACAACTTCTTATTTTTTTAATAACATTTTTGGTAATTGTAGTCCGCGATATCTTTGCTTGGTTGTTCGAGGAATGCGTAGCTCAGGGAATTGCTACCATAATACATAAATAAGGACTTATTAGCGTGGCGCCACTGTAAAGTCGACCTTAACAGAGTAGAGCACTGTGAAGTTAGTTTATGAGGAAAGACTGTGGTCGTATAACGTGCAAGCTCATTATAGACTGGTTTGTATGCCAAATGATTGCAACTCACACAAATCTAATCACTTGTCTTCGTAATTACAATTTGTCTTTTAAGTTTAATAAATCGTTAATTAGTTACATTAGTATAATTCGTTGATATTTGATATTATTTAACCTGTGATATAAATTGTAGGATAAAATTTATACATGGTGGAAATTTAAGACGGGTCAGCATAGCAAGGCTGTCGTAGTTTATGTAATGTTTATGGTAAGATATATGTTATTCATCTTGTTTTGAAACACACGTTGACAATTCGTTTTTTCTGTAACTAACTAAAATGACTGATTATTAAAAATGTCCCTACGAAAGTTTGTTAAAGTAAACTAGTTTGTAAAAGTTTTGGTTCGAAGGTTTTGATCCTTACCAAAAATGAAAAAAAAAAAAAAGTTTTTATCTTGCTGCTTGTCTATTTTTACCTTCAAAATTCATAGACAGCCTAGTAAATTTTATCGGTTAGAGTATCCGGCCTTGCTGATCCGTTTCAAATTTTTCGCCCTGTATATGAGAAAACTTGAATATTGTATGATAAGGTGGGTCATACTGTTCAGAGTAGTGGCTAAAATCGCTATTTGAATGTCAACCTTATGCAAGAAATTCTCCCTAATACAGGGTTCTTTTAAAATTACTGACAACCTCGCAGGACTATATTACTAACGTCATAAACGACAACTTTTGTTCCAGGACTTTTAATAATTCATCAGACTTTACTTTCGCACAAAAAAAAAATATTTAAAATTGATCGCTCGAAACGGTGATAACTCTGTGCGGTAACGAAAGGCAGTCCTAGTGTAAATACCACTCCGGTGCAAAGAGCCAGACGGGGATAAGAGTCGTCAAGGAGGACGCTTGCACGTTTGAACTTCCAATCTTACTACCAAATACTAATCTAAAAAGTGTCAGATAGTACAATAAAAATTTAATTATTTTTGGTAAATATATTGTTTTATTAGTGAGTTTTTTGTGTGAATTAACTCCACTAGTTTTGTTATGATCAATGGTTGGAAAAAGGTGTTTATTTATTTATTAAAGATACAATGTAAACTTGTGTTCCACATAATCGGCCCCACCTAGAGAATGAGTTTTAAAGTAACGAGCTTTGCTGAATAAAACTGAGAAATGCTAAGGTCACGTGTTATGATCATTTCAGTGAATTCAAAACTTAAAAACGCTCCCCTGTAAACTTGGCAATTTCGACATACGATACTTTACGTAGGAGGGGTCCAATATAGATACATGTTTAGATATAGTTACAAGGAGTGACATAGTTGTTAAAACCACCAAATATTAATCAATTACTGTTTCGAATTCCGGATTTCCGGACTAAAGACACTACTCTCTTTATTTATGAAGATAAATAGCCGTACATGGGTAAGGCCGTCAACATGTACATCTTTATGGAACATCTTTTTCTGACCATTGGTTATGATTATTAAATTTGTAAGATTATTATATTAGGTTCTAAAATCTCTCACTAGGTATCACCACTGAATGCTGAAAAATCCAGTACAAAGATCAATAACAAAAACACATAGGAGAATTTCGGCAACTTTATAACTTGTCCTGTAGCTCGGTTGGTTAGAGCAGCGCTACGGTACGACGTGGTCATGGGTTCAAGTCTCTGTATAGTCTGTCTTTTTTGAAGACGGAGTAAAATGACAGTTCGTTGTGCAAAAGTGTTACCCGCTTGCGAGAAGCTAGTGATTGGAGTCGATAAATATTCTGTCGACTATCGACTGAACGTTGGTTACGCTTATGAAGTAAATAGGCGAAAGTGTTTCATTCGATTCATCATCGGCCATATGTCTAACTGTTGGGCCTAGGTTCATTTTGAATTGTTGATTTTTGAAAATTCATTCATACATGCACTAAATTTAGAAGAATTTGTATTATAAATACAAATAGGAGACACATTTTAAAGTTTTTCATTTGAATATAATATACATAATCAAATCCGCCTATCGTCATTAAAATGTGTATGACTAAAAATTGATTCGTATAATAATGTACCAACTGTCAAAATAAGAATAAAGAATACAATAACGCAATTAGTACTCATTAGAACGTCGTAACATTCACAATTCACCCATTTTTGCCAAAATTTTACCTACTTTCACAATCTATCGATAAAACTGTCGACAACTACTACATGACTATTTAAAATTTTTCGAAACATTGCATCCCTGTAAATGTAATTTTACTCCGTCTTAAAAAAAAATAGACTATATCAATAATTAAAACTTTGTTTTGTAAAAAATCATGGAACAAAAGTAGTTACTTATGACGTTAGTAGTATAGTTCTGCGAGGTTGTTAGTATTTTACAATTCACACTGTATAAGTCTTTATTATATTGTGTAACTAGGCACAGCTTATTCTTGGATGCGCTTTTATAAAATAGACATATATACAATATGCTTTATAATATCGTCCATTCGATGTCGTCTTGTGGTCTTCTGAGTTAAAAGGGACAATATTACGCATGCTCAATTTGCATAGCCGCATAACAGAATTTTTGGAGGCTTGGTTTCAGACTGGTATTAGATTTAAGAATAAAATGGCACCAAAGTAAAGTTGAGAAATATTTACTCTGCCATTCTGTAATGGTGTTGTTGTGTTGGTACGTACAAATGCCAACTTAAATATAATAGTCGCAGGGGTTGCCGACTACGAGCCAAAAAACAGGTCGCGCGTCTATCGGAGAATTCTCGTGCATTTACGGGAATTCCTGCAGCTACCGTCAGCGGCGGCTAGTTAAACCGCGTAAAGAAGCGAGACGCTCAGTGCTGCATCAAGTGCCTTCTAAAAAAAGTATAGAGATATAAATCTCTCCAAAATGTTTCACAAATCATAAACTCAAATATCTCTTCCTTTTCTGCTCCAGAAATAAGTGAAATAAAAACAATATGGAGTTCACCATCCTTGTCATGTCAAAGATATAGACTGAACACCTACTTCCAGCCTCAAGGCGAGAATTGTACCGAATCCGCCCGCGCCCGCCTCGCACAACGTTCGCGTTCCGTTTCGCGACAATGTAAATTGAGCCTTAGGCTACCTACCGAAATGTAGCGGAGAAGAGCTGCTGTTTCAACAGCCAATAGTATTTCGTTATTTTGAAATTTCCACGCCGCAACCATTCCTATTGGTTATTGCATCAAGCAACGCTATTTGTTGCTGAAACACGCATAGCTATTGGTTGTTGTCTTCCCAGCTTCGCTTTACACTTTAGTAAATAAAGGTCCTTGGCTATAATAGTTCACAAAAAAAACATTCGAAAGCCATTTTATTTTAGATGCGTTAATAGAAAGCCAAAGAATTTGCTATGAAAAATGGTTTTGCATATGACAAACTTGTATCGATTTTGTTAAGTGTAATATTATTAAGAACGGATACTGTTTTCCTGCACATTATTCTGGTTATCATTAGTTTTTTTTAAATACCAAAAATCTACCGCGGACCTAATTTTCTTCCAAAATTTCCAAGCGGTTACTTGCTCCACTGTCAAGCTGTCACAGTTTTAAGAACAAGTATTTATGTACCCACTTGTGTGGAAAAGCAGAAAAAGAAACTATTCTCATCTTGATCACTTGCGAAATGTATGGAGAAAATAATGTGGTCACACCTTGGTAATAAACTATTAACTGTAGATCATTTGAGTATATAACCAGAAATAGAGACGAAATAAGGGCCTTCCATCCCTGGCAATTCATCAAGTGAATGGGCCTTATATCACTTTTAAATATCAACTCTCGTTAGCGCTGAAATCACAAATTAGAAAATTGAAATAGTACAGCGCCAACAACTCACAATGGGGACTTCCATTCGGTGGTGTGGGAAAAACAGCAAAACATCTAATTACAAAACAAACGGAATCGCATTTCATCGGTAATTCAATATTAAATATGTAATCTATCCATTATAGCAAAGGTCAAGTTAAACTGGTCTATTTGAAGTGAAGGCTGGCCAATCGGAGCGCAGTTGTCAAATTAAATGACATCTCTATTTCTGGTTAACTATTCTCAAATATAGTGTATGATTGACGTAGAGTGTATGATCTATGCATTGACTTACAAATAAATGGACGACGGGTCTAATACAAAAACCACGAAAAAAATGTCCCAAGTCAACCTATTCGAAATTTAAATTGTAATGTCATCGCAGTATCGCGCTGTCAGTAGAACAAATGAAGACTAAAGCGGAGTGTCGCGCTCTGTATACGATTTTAGCGCCTTACAAGTGCGGACACTTTTTAGCGCGGACCCGACGTCCATATAATTGTAAGTCAATGGATCTATGTTACCTATGTACTCGATGCTATAGATGCAGTCGCTCGAGTTTAGACGCGGCCATTTTGACGTCGCAACACGGCGTTCGGGCGTCATCGCGGCCTTTATGGCGGCAGTTCGGGCGTCATCACGGCCATTATCGCGGCCGTTCGGACGTCATGGCGGTCATTCGGCCATCATCGCGGCCATTCGGGCGTCATCGCGGCTGTTCGGGCGTCGACCCGCCATTCCGCCATCAACACGGATCGGGAAGGTATGAAATAGGGCCTTCGCACTTTTGGGAGTCGTCCTGTCGTCACGACGGCTTTCTGGCTCTAATTTCATGGACATAAAGCTCTTTCTACCCGGTTTAATGCGATTCCGTGTTGATAAATGTGATGACTCCGATATTTTAATTTAGATAGTAAATTATCAATTTAAAATATTGAACGATGTTGAGTGTGTGCGTTATTATTATAGCATCTCAATAAAACTTTATTGTATTTTTGTACCAATAAATGATTAAATTTCTTTATTTGTCGTTTTATTCATCATAGTCTTATCAATACTCAACATAGTTATCATTCATTATCCGTCTTTATTTTAAAGATCTAAAGTCCTGTATTGATCCACACCTAATAATATGAAGTAAAAATACAAAATTGTTCGTTCGTAAAATTTACTGCTCATTAGTAAGGCAGAGGCTGAGGAGTATGGGCAAGAAACTCTAGGGGGTTGCTTGTACATAAGCATTTGTATACATGTACGTGGGGCGCACTATAGGTTTCCGGAATGAATAAGAAAAAATACTATAAATGGTCAGAAATAAATCTATTGTTTCTCAAAATATTCCCCGTTAGCGTTAATGCACTTTTTCATACGAATGAACCAATTTTGAAAACATTTATGCCACTCTTCCGTGACAATCTCTGAAACATATTTTTCATACTCTTCGACAGCCTCTTCAGGTGATGAAAATCGTTGACGGCGTAACTTGTTCTATATTTTGGAAATAAATAAAAGTCATAAGGTGCCAGGTCGGGACTGTACGCGGGATGGCTCATAAGGTCAACATTGTTCACCTTCAAAAATTCATTTGTCTGTCTGGCCGTGTGCGAACTGGCATTATCGTGGTGCAAGATGATACGGCGTTTACGGTTATTTTTACGGAGTTTGTCAATAACTTCCGGCAAACAAATGGTCGTTTACCAATCACGGTGCAACGATTCTCCAAAGCAACATCAGCCACGTGTCCAGTTTTATTAAAAAAATAAGCAATCATCCGCTTAGGGGCACTTCCCACGCGCGCCATTTTGGATGGTTTCGGCTCATCTCGAAAGACCCATACGCTCGATTGCTGCTTTGTTTTGGGATCGTAACTATAAATCCATGTTTCGTCACCTATTACTATGTCCCACACCAGATTTGACGCCCCTTCGTTGGATCTGGTAAGCATGGCATTGCACCAAGTGACGAGATCCGTTTATTGAGGCTCAGTCTTATTGGGTGAGATCCACAGCACAGCCTTTTCACACCCAAATGTTTATGTAGTATTGATTGTATTTGAGTCATGCCTATGCCTAAAGATGCCTGAACCTTATGGTATGTCACAGCATGCCTGTCTGTTTTGATCATACGGCGCACAGCATCGATGTTTTTGTTGTGCACAGCAGTGGAAAGGTGACCATCACAAAATTCGTCACTGAGATTCACACGACCGCGTTTGAATTCTGCAAACCAGCTATAAATAGTTGTCTTGCATGGTACTTCATCGCCAAAAGCAATTTGAAGCCTAGCGAAGCTCCGCTGAGCTGTTAAATTACACTTAAAATCGTAGAAACTCATACTACGAAAATTTTCACGAGTTAAATCCATGGTGATGTAGACAACCAATTACTAAAATGATGCCACAATATAAAAACAAGTGACAGTCAGATGAAACAAACTGTATTGTCAGCCAAAGAATTCCATTTTTAAATGTTGTAATTACTTTTTAAATATTGTTTATGTAATTGGCCAGTTCCGGAAACTTATAGCGCGTCCTATGTATCATTTAAAATATTTATTTCAACCGAGACCAATTATCGAGACAACCTGCTGGAGCTAAACAGGCCACTATCACGGATTTTTGTCATCTAAGTATGCAGAAGCTGTACAAATAATCTTTAGTATACAGTGCAGCCGATGTGAACGATAGCCCGAGCATCAAAAGGAGCCGTTGACATCCTTAAGAGGGAGCATGCAAAAAAAGTTTTGACGTTGGCTCCGCCCAAATTTGTGAAACAAATATATGCCTGAAGTTGTTTGAGATGTTGAATTTTGTGCATTAAAAGTACCAAATTCGTTTTAGCGGAATAACTCTAAAACTAAAGGGATTAAAAAAAAATCCGTAGTGACAGTTCTCGATCATGCATAAATATAATTAATTGTCTAATTTTTGTCCTAATAACCTGTAGCATTTCGAGGATGAATCGAAAAAATTTGAAAATTAGAGGTCATTTCGTGATTTTTATCTATCGAGGAAACTTTATTATTTTATGTTTCTGATTAGTGTCTTTGCTTGAATATATCGTGTAGTTACTCATACAATATTTTATTTTTAACTTTAAAGTGGATATACCCCTCTAAAATCAAATCGAAGATTAGGAATTTTTCCTCTGCTCCCTCTTAAGAGGATACATGATTTTTTCCTTTTTTGTATCTGAAGCAACTTGATATTTAGAAGTAACGGCAAAAGGTAGCGATTACTTGATAGTTTAATCAAATTAACGGTAAAACAAAAAAGCGAATTTATAACATTTTGCACATAATAGCAGCTTTGTTTACATTTTTAACCGACTTCAAAAAAGGAGGAGGTTCTCAAGTCGACTGTATGTTTTTTTGCAGTAGTGATCCCATTTAAATTTCAAGAAAATATTCCACCTCCAAGGGTGGCAAACTAGGGGATGAGTGACTTTTGAGGTCGGCTTTTTTAGTACTCTATACTGAGATTATGTATTATTTTTAATTGAAAAATCCAACGCAGAGTATAGTCGATGTTTACGGACGTGATTTATTGACAAATTAAAAGTGAGTATTTCGATATTGATATGTTTATTTCCTTAATAAAAAGTGAAGTAACCGTTTGGAATCATAAATGTTCTAAATACAATGATAAACTACAAGTAACATCTTACATATCGACATGAATAATATACAACATAACAATTACACTGTGCACCTGGCGAAAACTGCTTGGAGTCAGTGTCGACTGTATGTAGTTTTACATATCCACTTCGCGGACGCAGTTCATCTAATAGTGTAGGACCCATAGCGTCTAAATCGGTACCCATTTTGGGGGTACAGCGGCGCTGTAGCCGCTTACATATACATCTACTGTAGAACTGATTTACGCAGTCTATCGACTATGAACTGGCAACCGGTACTATCTCAATTTCGACAACTATACAGGACGAAGAAAAAACTTATTTGCGTCATTTACATAGCATCTGGTTTATTAAATGAAAATACGTAGTTTTTAAATATTTTTATTGCACATGTTATTAAAACCAATGGAATTTCTTGCAACGCCGCGGAGTATGAAATAGTATTAAAAAGTGAAATCTTTAGAAAATTGAGATTAGTATAGACGGTTGCCAGTTCACAGTCACTATGCATTTATTAAGAACTTGTAAGTGGCAATTTTACGGCTTGTTATAGAGCTTGTGTGCTAGTTGGGATAGCAGTCTTAGTTCGCGATGAAATACGGCAAGTTGTAAAAAGAATGTCAGCACTTAAGAAAAAAAGAGATCCAAGAGTTTCCCAACCACATTCACAGCCCAAATAATAATGCAACAATTATTAATATAAAGATGGAACACTAAGAAAAATTCCTTCGATCTGACAGGACTCGAACTTGCGTGTGTGCCTTATCAGGGCGACAGCTTTACCAACTGAACTACAGATCGGGTCAGCGGACTTTACGAATTTTTCTATGCGTTTGTTACCTTTGTTTTGGTTTTAACCATAGGTAGCGCCATCTGTAAGAAATCTGTGAGCTTTTCTTTACTCGACGCGGTACCTTTACAGCTTGAAATGTAACAAATCTGCATTTTGTAAACCTTTTTGAGAGAAATAAAGCATTTTGTATTGTATTGTATTGTAGCTACCAGACGTTGACAAGAGATGTCGCTTTATAAATTGTAATATTGATTGTAATGAATATTATGTGTTAGTATCATGATATTCGTGTATTTTTTGTGTAATTACTCGCATCTTTGTATTAATAATTATAACAAACGAGGTAGTAATTTCGCAATAAATTTTATATCATAGCCGTCGCGAGCTCGTGCTCCTGCATTCGCGAGTAAATCCTCGTAAATCCAGACCATTTCCACCGAAGATAATGCGTTAGGAGAGAATAAAAATTTTGCCATACAATTATCAATCCTCGTCTCTTCTCGCCTCGCCAGTGGTAAAGCACCTTCATGTTTCATTCAGTTAGTAAAACATCTTAATTAATATTCATTACAATTAACATTACCTTTGGTGACCTAAGTACTATGCCGCCCTAAACATTTGCAAATGATGTACTTAGAACAACCTACTATTACGTCATTTAATTACTTTTATTTTGTCGAATAACGTAGAGAACGCTATTTGGCGAAAACCACATACGAAATCTTAATAGTGACGTCATTGCTCTACAACATATCAAAATATTGAATCTCTAGCGACAAGCAGTATCGAAGTATCACAGGATAAGTATAAGCACTACTCACACATACCAATGATCGCCGGCATACACTTGCAACGTCGTCGGGGCGGGCGGCTTATAGATGTCAACTTGTATTGACATCATTATCATTATTTGTTACATTCATTCAATAACCTGTACAAGAAACGTTTATAAACGTTTGCATTAATGTACGAGAAAAATATCTGCCCCAGCGCATCAATCGGCAAAAAACTATTTATTTATTTTTCTCAAACAAAAACGAACACGGAACGTTTGTCATTTATGGACCGTGTGCGACTTCCTCGTGGCCAAGGCCTGCTAAGTATGTATGAAATCTACATGCTAATAAATGAACTATGTAAACAAGCTGAAAACTTATCCAGCCAACTGCCAAGTGTTCCTAATTGCACCGTAATTTAATCACGTTTTATTTAAAAAAGGGCGATAAAAAAAAACTAAAGTGTTTTGGTATTCTTTTCTGTTTTTAGGCCTTTTTTTCACGTTTCGCGAAAATAAGTTCTAGTGAGAAGAGCGATAACAAAAACGCCTGCAAATGATTTGTGAAATATTAATTTTAATTAACATATTTGTTACTTTTTCTATTATACATCTTCTCTTTACTCTTCTGTTATTTCCAAAACTTCACGCTATGCAAAGGTGTTCATTATGATCATTATTATCCTTTATTAATTGTTGAGCTAGCAGGTACAAACACCTTTAATCTTACGAGAGAACGAGATCCAAGAGTAGGGAAACTTTTAGATCCTCTATGGTTTGTGCATTCAAGTTCCCTCGAATCTGTAATTCCCAGAGGGACTTTGTACACCATACTCTATGGCGTCATTTCGGCGTATCAAAGTCAAAATTGTTTTGCATGGTAATGTAGAACCAAACCTATAATAGCAGATAGAGTAGCAATACCGCTCGCTTTTTGCGTAGACAATGAACTGCCCCACAGCCAGCCTGGTGGTAGCCAGCTGACCGTGTGAATTACGTCCAGGAGAGCCTTGGTGGATGTCAATGAAGCTTGTACGAATCGAGCAGGAGCACATTTTGTTCTGGACGAAGAGTTCAGCGCTTGTGCTGATACATGAAGTGCTCGAATTGATCTGGAATATACAGACAAAGAACTGGATATAGGTAGCAGTTGCAGTGAAACTTAGAACTTTAAATCGCAAATATCTGAGGGGCACTGCCATACTAAACCCGTCATCCTAAGACTAAATTGACAAGTCCCATGTGCCTGTAATTTCACCAGCACCTTTATCCTTCAAAAACCGGAACGCAGTAACGCTCACGTTACGCTTGGCGGCAGAAATAGCTAAGGCAGTACTTCCTTAGACGAACTCTTTCACAAGAAACTCTACCACTACTATAATTATATGTATTGTAAGCTGTACACCTCTCGGCAGTGCACCGTCCTTCGCCACTTTATAAAAGCAGAAGATCCAGAGCGAGGCATTTGCTTGTCGGCGCCCGCTCCGATTTCATCGGTGACGTGAGCCTTTTCTTTAACGATTCTCTTATGTGTTTTATTACCTGTGACTATTTGATTCTTATGTGGTTTCATAAAGTGTTGTGTGTAATTGCGTAAGCACAGTAAAACATTTTGTACCGAAAGATACTTCGTCCGTTTAGGCTTAAGAAATAAATCATTTGGAAATTGAATAAAATTCCGTTAAAACCGTGTTAGATGTTCCTTTTTTTTTAATTTCGAATCCTTTTTCTAGTTGATTGTATTATGTTATTCCTATTATTCTTGACTTCAATTATTTTAACCTTTACACTCGGAATGCATGTTAATTCTTACGCACAACACTGACTACAGGTTTAGAACGCGTATGAATATGAAGTATGAAGTATGAGTATGCGCCAAGTGTGCCAAACAACCACACCGATTGCCTGACTCAAACTATGGAATTATCTTTACTGTGAGTACCAGAGCAACGGAATTCACTCTGGAACACTTCCCAGAACCAGACCTGCAGATTGATTTTAATTGAAATCGGAATCGGTCCGATCGGGTAGCCCATCGAGTATAGAACCAGAAATAGAGACGAAATGTCATTTAATTTGTTTGAAAACTATTCTGCCATATCATTACTGTGACAACTACGCTCCGATTGGCCAGCCCGAGTTCGAAACAATTGACGGGTGTCGTCAATGGCTGTCGTCAACTGTTTCACTTCAAATCGACCAGTTAGCTTGAGCTTCGCTATAATGGACGAAAATTGCAAAATTACATATTTAATATTTAATTACCGATGAAATTTGATTCCGTTTGTTTTGTAATTAGACGTTTTGCTGTTTTTCCCATACCACCGAGTAGAACAGCACGGCATTGTTAAAGATATTATCTTTAATTACAATAAATATGTAATATTTTTTGGAATATACGGAGACGTACACATAGTTGTACTGTCTATATTTCAGTGCAAACGAGAGTTGATTTTTATAAGAGCTGTATCGCTAATGTGTTACCAGGAATATATGGCCCTTATTTCGTCTCTATTTCTGGTTATATACTCGATGGGGTAGCCCAACCGAGTCTCGAAATGAGATGGGTTTCCGAGGGAGGAGATGAACCTGATTCTTACTATATCTTTCTAATTTGTGAGTTAAATCAACTATTATTCCACTTTGAAATGTCAAAAGTTTCCGATCGGCCAGTTGTGAATCGCAATTATGCGGCTCGACTCGGAAGAGACGCAGTTTCCGATCGGGAGGATATTTGGAAAAGTTCATTCCCCAAATTTGTCCTACTGGGAATCACACCCATAATGTAAACCGTAATGCAGCGCTCATAATGTACACCGACAGGCCACCCGCATTATAGCTTTTGCGCAACCGTGTTCGCACCATAGTCTTCCGCGTAATCGGCATTTCGTCAGGGGTTGTGCAATTATGCGTAACTAGTATTTGATTATGGGTCTTCATTTCGGTAATTTACTAATAATAATGCCAAATAAAATCCGCGTAAATGTCGTGGCAACCAAATTAGCTTTATTTACGGGAATCTATTGTTATGAGTCTGTAAACAACATAAATTATAGCTTACTGTGCATATATGAAAGCCGTACCCATTGAAATACAAAGTAATAACGTTAAATCCCTCTACCATTGACTAACAAATAAATGGACGACGGGTCTAATACAAAAACCACGAAGAAAATGTCCCAAGTCAACGTGACACGTAAAGGAATATGAAAAAGCTAAAACGTTGAATTTAAATTGTAATGTCATGGCAGTACTGTCTAATTTTGCTTGCTTCGCTGTCAGTCGAACAAACGAAGACTAAAGCGTGAATGACGCTCTGTATACGATTTTAACGCCCTATAAGTTCGGACACTTTTTAGCGCGGACCCGACGTCCATATAATTGTAAGTCAATGCCCTCTACTGTAAAATTTAGTTCAGTGCAGATACGCGCCTTTTCCCAATGCTACATACGCGGTTTTGAACTATGCCCGACGATTCACAATCACGCGGGAGACCCGGTTTAGGTATAATCATGTATAATTGATGTACACATGATGTACACATGATGTACACTCCACACATCAGCCTGATGAAGATTGAAAATCAGCAATATACTGAGTCTTAACCTTTTTGTCCTTATTTATTTGTGTTTTATTATTAGTTTATTATTTATGATTTCTATGTTGTGTGGAGAAATAAATGTCTTTTTATTTTATTTCAATTTTAATAAGAAATAATTTTTTTTTATTTTTTTTTATTTTAAAAATAGCCTGTGGCAGTGCCGCGCGCAATGTTTTGGAGTTGCATTGATCAATGTGTGCTACATAAAGGCCACTACATCCACATGTATAGTTTGATAAAATGATTAATTACACTTTTCATTGATTTAGCTGCATAACAAAAATAAATTTAAACTGATATCTGCGTGTCGTGACGACGCAGTCACGTGCATTATTTTATCTCGCGATATCAGGACACTTAAGCGAGAAAGTAATTGGACAATCTATCAAATCTGGCTGGAAGTGTCCATTAAGATTAAGAAAAAACAAATGCTTGTTGTTTTACAAATTCTTGATTATATTGTTTTTTTACATTATCGTACTCAATTGCAAGAATCATGATAATCTTGTTGTTGGCGCCGGAAGGTGTCAATCTTTATAAATCTTTTTATAGGTACAGATTGTAAGAAAATATCCATTTTTGTGTTCTTTATTATTACGATCACTACTTCGTACTTATGGAATAAGAAAACCGCATGTAATATACGTGAAACGTACTTTTATTACACGAAATTCATAAAAATAGCACAAAATAAGTGAAACAAAAATATAAGATTCTATAAATTTCCTAATTAAGCATAAAAAAGTTGTCGACCAATTTCATTCGAAGAATCTTGAACCCTTCTGGGATTATGAAAATGCGGCCTTATTATACACAAAGGTGCTACTTGAAGTATGAACATTTTTGTTACACTATATATAAAAATTTCACTATCAGACGTTTCCGACGCCAACAACAAGATTATGTCCGTCCCTGCTACTGAATAAAAGAAAAGATAATTTTGTTGTCAAGATCTCAAGAATTTCTCTATCAAAGGTATGCGTGGGTAATATTTATTATAGAAGATAAAGATATCACCATTTAACAAGATTTTTACGACACTATTGTTAATAATAGCTTACCTTAAAAGTCCTACAAATGAGAACAGCGACCAAAACAGCTTATGTGCTGTTCTTATTTTAAACTCAATGTCGGAGTTCACCACCAGGAGGCCCGTGTCAATGAGGAACATTAGTTTCTCGGCTTGTAGGTACGATAGTGTGAATAGATTGAATGTCACGCCTAGACTACCCCATAGTGGGCCTTCCTGAAAAAAAGTGTCATACAACTATACTTCTAGTTCTTATCAGAATTTAACTTATAAAGAAGCTAGGAAGATACAGGTCCAGTGTATTGAATGAAAGTAAAATAAAACGTCGTTATTTAGTACAATAAAGCAACAAGTGATCACACGTCAAAGTGCTTTTATCTCATGAAAGTTCTAAAAATACCAACAACATGTAATAAAAATGATGTACAACTATCTATATGCGTAATTTTTGTAACTCTACATTTAAGCGTAAAAAAGTTATTAGTTGCCATTTTGGGAATGTGGCCTTATTGGACGAAGGAGCGAAGTACCGTCTAATCAATTTGCCAACATCAGGTTTCTCCTATAAAATATACACATTTAAATATATACATAGTAAGCTCACGCCCCTATGGGAACAGGAGGAGTAGGTATCTGTGGTCTCTACCACTTAACGCCACTTTGCCATCTTTATCTATTACATATTTAACTGACTTCAAAAAAGGGGAGGTTCTCAATTCGACTGTATTTTTTATGTATGTTACATCCTTAGAATAATAACGCATAGAAACCTAGTCCGCACACGCTAAGTGAGGCAAATTGAAGCGCGCCCAATGGGCCTACACGAGCGGGCGGGCCTTCAGTGCTCAAGGTCAACTTGCACCGCGAACAGCTCAAGAATTTTAGCTAAAAAAGACGAAATGTGCGGTAAATGAGTGTAAAAATACGTCAGACAAACATAAAATAGATACTAACATCACATCACATCTTCATCCACAATGAAGTAACGCGTTTCAACTTGTATTGTTATATAAATATTCACTAAAACCGAAAATTAACCTACTACTAAAACTAGCCTACATGAATTTGATTTTTGCCTCACTTGTGACAGTTCGTTTGATATGAAACTATCATTCTATGCGTTATTATTCTAAAGTTACATCAGTATTGGTCCTATTTAAATTTGAAAAAAAATATTCCACCTCTAAGGATGGCAAACTAGGGGATGAAGAGTTTTGCGTTCTTTCCGGTAACGGATTTCAATAAAACTTGGCAAATCATCCTGTCAGCCGGAATACGTCCACTGCTGAACATGGGCATCCCCCAAAGATTTCCAGACCAGCCAATCGGATGCGACGTGCATCCATCGGTTACCCGCCGCCATTACCAGGTCATACGTCATCATACTTGGCAAATAAATGACTGTAATTCCACAAACTTTTGACGTCGGTATTTTTTCTTTATAAATAAATTTACAATTGTTATTTAATAATCATTTGATTAATATAAAGATCGATGGCTAAGAAAATTTCCTTCGATCTGTCTGAATTCGAACCTTAAGCATACGTGTCTGACGCTCTCCCAATTAAGCTACGGAATTAACTAGCAGGCTTTACGAATTTTTCTACGTGCTTGTTGCAACAATTTTTTTTTTGTTTTAAACAACTTTTTTGCCGTCGTCTGTGAGAAAACTGTGAAGGTTTTTTCTCCACTCAGCCAGGTACCTTTACAGTCTAGTCATTTTTAGTCATTGTAATACTAAGTATCTTGATTTTTTACTACCATGACAAACGTAATTCGACCCCTCCTAGTAAAGTATCGTACGTCGAAATTGCCAAGTTTACAGGGGAACGTTTTAAAGTTTTGAATTCACTGAAATGATCATAACACGTGACTTTAGCATTTCTCAGTTTTATTCAGCAAAACTCGTCACTTTAAAACTCATTCTCGAATAAAATTAAGAAATGCTAAATTCGCGTATTAAGCTCATTTCAGTGAATTGAAAACTTTAATACGATCCCCTGTAAACGTGGCAATTTCGGCATACGATACTTTACGTAGGAGGTCGAATATTACGATAGATATTTTTAATTTTGCCACTGTGAAAAATTACTGGCTCATCACTATTTGTGAACGAAATTAGGTTCCGTATTGTAAAATATGAGTTGGATGTAAATATATTACTAAACAACTAAACATTGCTTCCATCCTTACCTATAGTTGTTTATTTATAAAACCAAAATGGGTAAAGGAGAAGGGTCACAGCCCATAGAAAATTAACCCAGTCCCGGCGCAATAAACACATTTCTCAGAATTTAGCTATTAGGTAAGTAGGTAAATTATATAATAGCGCTACACGCCTGTCCATAACAGTTACAGTGCCACTCAGATCTTTAAATTGCGAAGATCTGAGGGGCACTACCCCTGCGCCCGTTACCGTGAGACATAAGTTGACAAGTCTATTAAGTCCCATGTGCCTGTAACTTCACCAGCTTACCCTTCAAAACCGGAACTCAGTAATGCTGACATTACTGCTTGGCGGCAGAAATAGGTAAGGTGGCACTAACTAAAACGTGGATTAGTGGTAAAATATTTTTTTGAGATATCATAAAAAACCATAACCCAGTTTTAGAATATTGATATTGTTCAATGATATTTCAGCTATGCAACGGTAAGTTCGATAAGTCGAACACGGTAACTAATTTTAACTATAGAAGAGTATTTTGTGCTCCATTTTTTGCTATTTAAAACGGTTATTTGACCATTTGTCACTTAGCCGCCTTTTAGTTAACGGACGGCAGAATACTACCCTGGACGAACTCTTTCACAAGGAGCTCTACTGCTACGAAAAATTACATTTATTAAAATATTAAAATAAAATATATAATATTAATCTCTCGCCAGGACTGGTAGCTGTAAAGGTACTAACTGGGTGATAAATCTGTCAAAGATTTCTCATAGATGGCGCTACGACTAAAAAGTCGTTAAAGACCAAGTACAAAGACACGACGCAAGCACATAGAAAAATTCGTAAGGTCCGTTGGTTCGTTCCGTGGCTTAGTTGGTATAGCGTCTGGCACGGTATGCAAGAAGACGTCGGTTCGAATCCGACCGGATCGAAGGAATTTTTTCTGAGTGTTTTTTCTGAGTGTTCGATCTTTGTATTAATAATTATAACAAACTAATGGAGTAATTTCACAAAAAATAATTGAATATCAATTCAATAAAAATTTAATTATATAATATTAAATTATATTAATTACATTTCGCTATAGTTAGGTATGTACGAGTTATATAATGGCTTGCACATGGTGTCGCCATCTCTGAGGTCCCGGGTTCGATCCCCGACCGGGTCTGTGTAGAAACTAACTTTTCTATATGTATCTCGGGTCTCGGGTGTTTGTGGTACCGTCGTTGTTTCCGATTTCCATAACACAAGTGCTTTAGCTACTTACTTTGGGATCAGAGCAACGTTTGTGATGCTGTCTAATATTTGTTATTTATTTATTTATACAAAACCTACCTTAGCCTTACCTTTTTGTTCTCTATTCTTTAAAAACTAATTACAAGGAAGTATTAAAAGTGACCAATGAGGCAGTGGGTTTGATCCCTCGCCTTTGAGAACTTACTTGTTTTCTAAGACCATATTTAAGTGTAGTTTTAAGGTAAGCAGCGTCGTCGTAGAGTCGCAGACATGCTCTTGCCGCTGCAACCCGCGCACTAGCCGTTAACAAAGATTTTCGATCGGTGGTTGCCCCCAAAAACTTCAAAGTGTAGCATGTTAGATTCATTACCTGAAGATATCGTTCAATTAGGTATTACTTCCACATTCTGCGCACACTCCCCGAAATGTATCCGATAGAAAACCGACAAGCAGGCTACTTTTCTGCGATGATCGAGATTTTGGAGCTTCGACTCCACAATAGGATTATTGTTAATAAGTCTCTTTGCTTTACGCTCCACCGAGTCCAAGGCAGCTAACTGGTATTGGGCAGAGCCGTCCCAAAGGTGGCAGCAGTACTCCATACAGGATCGAACTTGTGTTTTATACAGATTTAAAAGCTGTTCAGGTGTGAAGTACCGCCTGACCTTGAAAAGTATGCCTAGTTTTCTGGCAGCAGTTTTTGCCAAGCACTCGATGTATCGCCCAAAGTTGAGGTTGGATGATAAGTCCAGACCAAGTAGCTCAAGGTGGTCCCTTATCGGCACGGATACACCTCGAAAAGTCGGAGTAAGGTGTAGGGGACTCCGTTTTGATGAGAAAAGACACGCCTGTGTTTTAGCCGCATTAAACCTGACCCTGTTAGCATCTCCCCAGTCGGAAGCAGCTTTCAGACTCAGGTTCAACCGGGTGACCATCGCCTCTCGCTTACACCGGATCTCTTCACTGTTATCTCGGGCGTCTGGCACATAACTCACCGCCACTGTGCTGTCGTCTGCGTACCCAAAGATACCGGGCATCAGCAGCAGGTCGTTGATATGCAGCAAGAATAGAGTGGCGGAGAGGACAGATCCCTGAGGTACACCGGCATTTATACCATGAGGAGCAGACGAGTAACCATCTACAACTACACGGATTGACCTATCCTTCAGAAAATCGCCTATCCATGTGCAAAAGCCAACAGGAACTCCGTAGGCTGGAAGCTTGTTTAACAGGCTATCATGCCAAACCCTATCAAAGGCCTTTGATATGTCGAGAGACACGGCAAGCGATTCACCGCGTTTCTCGACAGCCTCGCTCCATAAATGTGTGGCGTACGCAAGAAGATCCCCAGTAGATCGTCCACGGCGAAAACCATATTGTCGATCACTGAGGAGATCGTTATCTTCGAGGTATCCAAGGAGACGGCTGTTCAATACACGCTCCATAGTTTTACAGAGTATGGAGGTGATTGCGATAGGTCGATAATTAGATGGGTCGGCATGGCTACCTTTCTTAGGTACAGGCTGTACATTTGCAAGCTTCCAGGATTTCGGGACTTGTCCAGAACTCATAGAGAGGCGATACAGGCGAGTCAACACTCCCTTACATAGTCACTCTATCGCGCGTGAACAGGAGTGTACAGGACTGCACGCAGGAAAGCCTGGACGCGCAATCGTGCGCGATACGCCTGTTTAAAGTTTTTTAAACTAACGCTCTTTCGCGCGCGATTGCTCGTGTTCGTTTATCGTACAAAAGAAAGAGTAGGTCATTCTCGGACTAGAGTTCACTACCTAATTTCCGTGGCAATTTTTATTATTTAAATGTTCAAGTATATTATCGTGTAATTATTAAATAATATTTCACGATACAATACTCGAATGTTAAATAATATTGCACGCCAAAAAATCGAATACTTAAATGATGAAAATTGCCACGGAAATTAGGCAGTGAACACTAGCCCGAGAAAGACCGACATATGCATGCGGCATTAATGCTCTGGCCACTTTTTTGTAACAATTTTTGTAATGTATGAGTTTATATGAACCCTGCCACATTGAAACGCGCGGCAGACGCGCGGCCACCGCGCGTTTCAAATTCCCGCGCCCGTAACCCGGCGCCTCTGTGTGGCCTGAGCATGTGCTATAGAGATGGTTTCACGCCACACTGCTTGTGGCCTAATGCTACATTGGAATAGGCATTGTTCACAAATTTTGACCTATACATATTTTTGTGGACCGAAGTATCCTCTTTTATTGCCGTGATCCTAGTCATGGCACATTAGTGGTTTACAACCTTACAAACTTCGTGAAGTTAAGTTTTAAATGATGATCAATAGACACGTCCTCTCGCTTCAAGGATATTGATGGGAGTGATAACGGAAGGATCCAAAGTAAGAATAGTGGAAGGGAAAATAATTCGAGAACGATTCAAAATTTAAAAAGAAAGTGGCCAGGAACCAGAGAGAAGGGTGACAAAAAGGGATGACGATGTGAGGAGGTCATATCGTCACAAGTTTAACTGCTTTTGAAGCATTGGATATATACAAACATATTGGCCCTCATGGGGTAGTGCCTTGATTGTTTAGTACTAGTAGGGAGTGTTTTATATTGTTTGTACCTTTATACGTCATTGTATTATTTTCGTTATAGCTTTGTCTTTTCCTTTCACTTACTTCTGATAAATTTATGTAGGCCGAACATTGAGTTACAGAGGCCGAACAATTCTTTTACTTTTGTTAAACAGGCTAGGCACAAATTGTCTCCGACATAAATAGGGATGTTTTCATAGAGTTTCTTTCATACAAATAAAGAAGTTGATAAATAATAATCTATGGTATGCATCACAGATAAAAAATATACAGTTAAAATAGTAAATTAACGTACCTTATCTCGGTTGGCGTGGGCCTGCAACAAATCGTAGATTTCGTCCACGACCTCCATCTTTAATCGATATTTTCTGACTGATAGATTTCCCGTGGAGTTAAAAAGAATTTTATCTCACGATAAGATTATATTTGACGATTTACTTCCTATTTTGAGGGCTTTTAATATATGTTATGTTTTGCCCTTATATAATATTGGATAAGATTATATTCTTATCTAAATCTTTGCATAGAATGGATAAACCTAAATAGTGAGATACTTACGTTACTTACTGTATTATATAGGTGGTATCTCAGCGACAGAGTCTTCTTATTTAATTATTTATTTTAAAACAATAGCTTACAAATAAATATCCAAACACAATAGTAAACTTAAGGCCAAGTGGATAGCACTCACGATAACATCATAGTCACAAAATAATAATAATAGTAGATACTAATATATGTAAAATACAATTGATGCAAACAAAATCAAAGTCAAAGCCAAATAATTATTTGGGCATTTCTCCAAAGCTGCAATTTTCTGTTTCCATGCTAGTCTACTCCACTTCACTTATTTATCAAAATAAAAATCTACAATAAAATATAGTGTATATCTTCCCAATAAAGCTTTCGGACCTAATGGAAAAAAAATCCGAAATGTCTAAAACCTGACAACGGTGGCGTGTCCCGAATGCAGAATCCAACACAAAGTATCAGTTTTCTCAAAATTGAAACTATATATAAATATTAGACTTTAGTTCACGTTCAATAAATTAGATGACAGTACTTATAATCTGCATTTCACAATAAACTAGACAATCGTTTTATCACAATACTAAGATTACTGCGTGTCCTAGACTTTCGCCGGAATTCGGTGGTAGTTACTAATCACGCTACTCATCACAAGTGAAGCATTGTAGAAGTTTTGCAATTCGTTCGTATTATTCGACAATCACGCCCCTGCGGCTGGAGAGATGGATGTTTTCGCCGATTTTAGGACTTTTAGCTTGTAAATACGTAATTTGGTGGATTTGGTCCACGTTGATTTTTTAATTCGGTGCATACGATATTTCAAAAACTAAATTTTATGGTTGTATGTAGTATTTTTATAATATGTATTGTAACTAATAAAATATAATAACAATTTATTGGTTCTAAAAGTATTGTCTTCCACGAGTAATATAAAAAAAATGAATATTTTCTGAATCCCGTGGCCATGAATTCAGTAGATTTTATGCCACTAAATTCAGAACAGCTTACACTGAAGTCGGAAAAAACTGCCATCGAAGCCATATTTTCTTTGAAAGCAAGAATTTTATACGTTTTTTCATATAAATGTTTAGATACTTATTATTGATTTTCACAATTTTATATTACTTACTACTTGCTTCCCACCGAAAATGAACAAGGAAAATCAATACAGAAAAGAAATATTGGCAATCAAGAAGATGAAGGAACGTGCTAGAAAAAGACAAAAAGCGATTCAATTATATATGAACGGTTTAAAGAAAAATATAGACGGAGGTATGCGAAGAAAAAGCGGAAGGAAAGATTTTGAACTTGCATGAATTACTTTGCCATGTATAAAAAGTAATGAAAGGTATTAACGAGCAAGAAAGTCTAGGGATTGCTCTTTTCAAATAAACTTAAATGCTATAGAATACAATTTTAATCATAATTGTGTGGAATCTAGACTCATGTTGTCTTTCCATACATCTTTATTTGACACATACATCTTTATTGAAAATATGGAGAAATTAGATAAATTACCGAGATAATTACCTATTACTATAACTTACGTTGATATGCCCAGAGATCTGCAGTTTTTTTGACATGTAAGTCTTGTGAATTAACATGATGAAAATTAAATACACTGCCACAAACTTTAACATTTTTCTTTAGGAGATCAATAGCTAGAGAAGAAGAGGAATTTACTGATTCTGTAGTGTTCACCATAGATTTAGGATTTTTTCGCTACGGTGTTCACGGCGATTTCCGAAAAGAACGATTCAAAAGTTTGGGCTATCTCATCTTTAGAGTTAATAAGTTTGCTGTCTAATTCTAGAATTATATCTCTATCATGTTGTTTAACCCTGCCTGACTCTTCATTCATTTTTTGTTCCTGAGGAGATGTAGTCGTTTCTTATATGGTTTCAAATCACAATTTAATAAATTGACATAAATATTTTTAATAAAGACTGACATAATTACTTATTTGTGTGTACATATCGCACCACACATGGAAAAATGGCATAAGTGGAGTTACGTCATGTTTCTTGCTCCATTAATACAGAAAAATACAACCCACATCCTCTCCAATTCTAGTAACTCTATGTACAATATTAGTCGATAGAGTTACAAGAATTGGAACGGAGCAATAAACATTTTTGACGTAACTCTACTTATGCCATTCTTCCATGACGGGTGCGATATACTTATTGAATATCATGACAAATAAATAACGCACGTACTCATAGACCCGCATTAGGGAAACTCTTGAGTCGTGGGTGCCATGGACACACACATAAACAACCACATTTAACCAGTGTCTGTTGCCTCAACGTGGCAGACGCTGGTTTTTCGATCTTTATATCAATAATAATTATAAAGACCGACAATTTAAACCTAAAAGGACGCAGGAAAAGTGGGAAATTAAAATCTCTTATCAGAAATACAAAAAATATTTAATATATTTCTTATTTTTTCAAATCAATCACTAACAATTTTGAGGTACCATTGTAATTGAGCATGACATATAATTTTGTTACATCTAAATATGTCATTTACAAAATAAATTTATAATACAAAGAAATGCAACAGAAAATAAAATATATTCAGCCCTGTAATATACAAATTACCTATAATACATTATTTACAACTTCACATAATGGTTAGACCGACCACACACGTTACACGAGTGGTGGGTAAGATGAGTCCCATATCGGTTCGCACAATTGTTCGTTGCATAGTTCCTACATAACAAGCAAGTTGTTTTGATTATTTGTATGCTCCCATGAAACGCTCTGATCGGATTTTTAAACAAAAATGAAATTCATACTTACAGTTACATTTTTCCCAGGACAAAGTACTCAAAAATAATCTATAATAAACATAGTACCTTAGGATTTAGACATGTGCGCCGCATTGTAGCCGTCTAGAGGTGGGCGTTTAAATGAAAAGCACTTAAATAAGTTCATCTACACACATATCATAAACCCTCTATGATGTGTTCAAAAACCGCAAATTACGACCAGCATAAAGATAAACTGTTATGTTACAACAAATTTCTTATCTGTGAAAATGTTATTATTCCTTCATATTATAATCACTTCACTTTTTATTTTTATGGCTCCATCAATATGAGAACTGATGATTTTGCCAATGTCACAGTTGAAAGAAAAAAAAACGAAACAAAAAAAAAAAAATTTTCGCTAAGCTCTAATAGGACATTAACCGGTGTTGGTAAGTTGGACTACGGGAGTACTCAGTTGAGAATGTAAAACAAAACAGCAAAACAATATTTATAAATATATGTTATTTAAGTGGATAAATTTACATAGAGTAACAATATGGGGGGAGAACACTAAAGTTAAGAGGTATATTATAATCGAATTCGATTTTATTATTACATTCAAATTTCGAACATCTCTGAAAAACAAAACAATTTGATTGGACCTCAATTCTAATATCAGTCGAGATGAAGTTTTATTCGAAATCAAATGTCAATAGCAAACAATTTTGCCAATTTCATACGTTGCTTGATATCGAACGATATGATAGTTGGGGCCTATTCTAGTTTGTCTATGAATTAAAAATAAAAACTACGGTTGTGTGACATGCGTAAGAAAAGTTTTTATATGCCGCCATTTCGCCAGTCGTAACATGCGGTTCCTGAACACAACACAGAGAGCTTTTAAGTGTGTAGATAAAGCAGTGTATGTAACTGTATATAATTAGTCGATAAAACACCCGTGACCCACACTCGTATTTTAATGCCTTTCATTGTATAACAGTTACATTATATATATAAAGCTACAAGTTTAGACTCACTTAGAAAAATAGAACGCATACTTCCCGATATGGTAGAAAAAAGATATTTATACCGTTGTACGCGGATAGGCTCCAAGGTAAATAATCAAATATGAAAAGACCTGAATGTGGAAAATGTAAACGAATGATCAACGGCCTGTAAAATTAATTGGCAACACTTATTGCTCATGTAAATTAGTTTTCAAGTTTTACAATGTATGCAGTTGGTTGTATTTATAAAAAATAAATAAACACTACAAGCGAACAGCTCCCAAAGAAAATTTTGCCAGAATAAAAATTTAAAATGGTTTTTAATGTGTCCCATATTTAAATATAAGATATAATGTTTTTTTCTTTAATTTGGTCATACATTGTATTTAAATATATTTAATGACCAATAAATAACTTTATTTTTTAAGGTATTAATCGCTCCTGTGCAATTGCAGTGTTTCCTTTCCACGTTTATTCGGTGGGGCCGTCGCTTTTATACACCACTATATACGATGTGGTTTTAGTGTGTAATGTAGTTTATGTTATTTATTCATGTATTTATTGAGATTATTTGTGAAATAACTCCACTAGTTTTATTATGATTATGAATACAAAGACCCAACACATAGAAAAATTTTCATCGAAATACCCACCGGGTCGAACACAGAAAAATTTACGTCGAAGTTCCCATCGGGTTGAACATAGACAAAATTTCGTCGATCTTCCCACCGGATCGAATACAGAAAAAATTTCGTCGAAGTTCCCATCGGGTCGAACACAGAAAAATTTTCGTCGACCCGGTGGAAACGTCGATCTTTGTATTCGATTATGTATTGAGACAAATACACGATTTATTATTCTTTATTATTTGTGTTAATTGACAAAATCACGGCCGACTGAAGACTAAGTTTCATTTCCTATGTGTAACAATCGCGAAAACCTAATAAATAAATAAACATTAGACAACATCACATTGCATTGTTCCGGTCCGAAAGCAACTAAAGCTAAAGTGTGATGGAAATCGGAAACAGCGACGGTACCACAAACACTCAGACTCGAGACAACATTGAAAACTTAAGTTTCTACATTGATCCGGCCGGGGATCAAACCAGGGACCGCAGAAATGAGACAGCATGAAAACCACGGAGGTCGTCAAACTGAGAACTTGAAATGAAAACAAATTAATTTAAGCAATGTTCTAACGTATGCCACGCCGAATTTACACCGATTACGCCTTCGCCAGTCGAAAAATCATCAAACGCCGTAGCCGATGTTTTAACGAGTGTCGCACATGTCTACTCTTGATTCTTTAAGTTAAAACTTTTTTAACAATTTTGAAATAAATAGTAATTCCAACGGTTACGTCATAAAATAAAACCATAACAGATGAATTGTCTCACCATAATTGACGCGAACTTAGTTAAAAAATACAGAAGTTTACTTCACATAGAACGAACGAAACAAACCTTTCGATATCTCGACCCAATAAATCAAATTATCAATAAGTCCTGCGCAATCGTGTTACCAAGTTCGTTATCGTTAAGTATATTAGTAATTTAGGACATAATACAAAAACACATTTTTCTTCATGAGAAGTAACAATGATTTTACATAGTTAAAAAAAGTGTGGCTTTGTCATGCTAAGGGTATGATTGTATGTTTTTCTTTATATCATATGACGTACGAAAAATGACTATTATTTCGAGAGTGTATAGACAGAAGTGGAATTTTAATTCATGCAGCAAAACATTTGCGAGCTTTAGACAGACACTATCGTGCGTGTGAAGACGTTGGGAGGAAAAGGGAAAGATCGCACGATTACGCTCATCAATCGCGCACTCCAACACGCGCCAGTTTCACGCGGTCTATCCTGCGCTATTAGCAGGGATCGGAATAGGTGGAGATTTTTTACCTAAACTTCGAGGAACATAGACAGAAAATGGAGACTGCCTTACGACAATATTTTTTAGGTCCTGGACGGGAAATCACTTAAGTACATTAAAAATTGACGAAATTGGGGACAGGCAGGTACACTATATTTATCTTCTTCTGCCTCTGTGGCCGAACGGTTACCATGCCATAAGAGTGTCCGTGTAAAGGCTAATGCCTTTACACGGACACTCTTTCCGTTTTAACAAAAACGAACACGAGCACTCGCGCGCGAAAGAACGTTAGCTTAAAAATTTCAAACGGGTAATCGCGCACGATTGCGCGTGCACGCTTTCCGACGCGCAATCCTGTACGCTCCTGTTCACGCGCGACAAAGTGACCGTGTAAAGTGGACTGTTAGCAAAGTCGGATTGCAAATTGCATGGAAGCCTTCAGCATACATTTTTGTTATCACTTTAAATAAAAAGAACTTGCTTAAAACTTAGGTAAAGTTAATTTTGTAAAACAGAAAAACTTGCTTAGCTCACTATTGCTTGCTTAGTCGAAGCCAAGTTCGTTTTAAAAATCTCACCATAAAAAATAATTAAACGTATTGCGTGATTTTTAGCAAAACGGACTAAACTAAAATTTATCTAGGATGATCCCTAGGACTAATTTTCATAACATTTCATTAATTATTTTTATAAGCCTCGCTTTTCAAATTAATAGCTTTTGTATAAGTAAATTAAATCGTAGTACAAATAACACCAAATCAATGTTCATTTGTGAGAAATGAGCGCAAAAACAATTTTATTGTTTTTTTTAATTCATTAATTTTTTGCGAGTACTTGCAAAGGTTACTTCATTACACTGCATTTGCTAGAGATGAAGTATATTGATAAAAAGTTTTCGATAATTTAACGAATAAATGTGTAGCGCGTGTACTCATTTTTTAACCGATTTCGAAAAAAGGAGGAGGTTCTCAATTCTACTGTATATCTTTTTGTATGTATGTTACGAGATAACTCCTATTTGTGAACCGATTTTGATGATTCTTTTTTTTATTGGAAAGAGAGTACCTTAATAGTTTCTCAAATTTGAAGAAAATATTCCACCTTTAAGGGTGGCAAACTAGGGGATGAATGACTTTTGAGGTCAGATTTTTTAATACTCTGTACTGAGATTGTGAAGTTTGAATTTTGATCATAGGCAACGAATTGACATACCAGTGTTGTTACTTTTTTGAAACCTATAAACAATAAATGTGTACAAATGTATATTTACAAAGAGGAACCCCTAGAGTTTCTTGTACATTATTTAGTTACTTGCAGAGTTTAATCAACATTATCGATTTCAAGTGTAACTTGCTTACCTATGACATAAATTTGATATGGTTTGACCTTTGCTTCAAAAATCAAATACACTAAAAATCAATCAACTTTAGCTCATCCCTATCCCTATGATAAACGTCAAATGAATTGTTACAGGGGTCATCGTAGTTTTGAATAACAGTGTAAATTAATATTTTAAGAATTTAACAAATAATCCTTATTCGCTACAGATTTGACACTTCACTTTTGAAGTCGAATAAGGCACGTTTATATGAGAATTGTCACAATGTTACAATCACATTTTGTTCCACATGCAAACGTTATTTATTGAACACTATACAAGCACAAAATCTCTCTAATTACAAGTTAATTATTTCAAAAGTATTTTCTTAGCAAAATACATAGCGATACCTATGACAGAAGAAGTGGTAGCTATAATGTTAACTTTGGTTGGCCCTATCTTCTCCCCCCATAGCCAACCTGCTGGAAGGCAGCTGACAGCATGTGTTATGTCCAGGCATAATTTGCCAGCGACTACAGCTTGAAGGATAAGTCTTACGTCTAAGTTCTTTTTGGCATCGGCTCCTCCGCCTTCTGATGATTTCTGGAGACAGTCTCTACTCCACCATAGGTGCCGGATAGTACCTATTGTTCTGAAAGTAATTATTTATTTGTTTAATAAAATAAATGAATAAAAGCACAATGTACCCGACAGTTATGTAAGTGCCCCCACCAAATTTATTTGGGGATAGATAGGAACATAAATTTATCTTCATATAAATTGGCCGGGCTTGTTTCAAGTCCTAATCCACATTTAAAAAATTTATTTCATGGCCTTGGATACAAGTAAGTAGTCGTCGGGATTAGGGGTCGTATTCCAGAACTCTACTCAATGCTCGAGTCAGGACTTGAGTATGATTTCAAGCACTGGAATCCGAAACTAGGTATGGTAATACCAAAAAAATTGGTTTTTTTTTCATGTTAACCTACAAAAGTTATATCTGTTTTGTCTCAAGTTTTCGACTTTTACTTTTTTGAATCAGAAGCCGCAACTAAATCACACAAAGATTCTTGGATCGCTTCTACCTTGGATCTGTGGATATCTACGACTTCCGAATTTTAAGGGTCATGAACTAAAAAAAATAAAGAAATTTGACCGAGAAAGCTAATTTAATACTGTCATGGAACAATCTGCAGTATGTTCTTTTGAATTTAAAAGGTGCGTAGCTCGCTAGAGATGAGAATTGTAGTGACAACACTATCAATAACTTATACACTATTAATACTTACTGTAACAGTGAAACGTAAAGACCAGCTGCCCATAAAAGTGTGCTAATAGTGTCCAAGTTCTCTGCAGAATTTTCAGAGAGCTTCAGGACGCCAACCTCCTGCAGCCAGCAGGCCTTTTCTACAGGCAGGAAGGCTTGGTCTATCAAGTTGGCCAGAACGCCTAGCGCTGCAGCCGATGATGACGATTCCTAGGTTGAAAAATCAGATTGTTGCATTTCAAGAATATTAATTATATTAGTTTTTTTCACTTATTTGCCGTGGCGCCATCTATGAGAAATATATTTCTTCACTCAGGTACCTTTACAGGTACCAGCGGCTGACTCGGGATGTCACGTTAGTAATTGTAATATTTAAGTTAATTGAATGGTTCGATGTTTGACCACCACGATATTCATTAATTGAAGTCGTTAAAAACCAATATACTAATAACAATGATCAGCAATAATCACATAGAAAAATTGGTAAGGTCCGTTAGTTCTTTCCGTGCCTTAGTCGGCATAGCGTCCGGCACGGTTTGCTGGAAGAAGTTGATTCGAAATCAGCCGGACCGAAGGAATTTTTTCTGAGTTCGATCTTGTTATTAATAATTATAACAAAGTAGTTGAAAATTTCACAAAAATAATAGAACATGGCGATGCTCAAATGTCGTGATATTCAATAAACTTTTTTAAGTTATATAATTAGTTTGTTTGAAAGAACAAGTAATACGCGGTTTTGTTGAAAAACTTTTATTTTCAATATGTAGTAATCGCGAAAATCTAATAACTCGATTTAAATACAAAATCCAGAATTAAAACTTCTAAATTCAATATGAAAAATTAAAAAAATTTAAATTTAATGACAAATAAAAAAAATAAAACTATTTATTTCAAATAAAAATCATTGATTAGATCATTTCATTTATAGAAGGCAGAATTTTAAGATTATGGATTCTCTAACCTTTTATCGTGAGTTGCTTTTCTTAATCAACTATACTAATGGCCTAGTCGTTCTTTTGGTGTAATCTTTCCTCGTTTATTGATCTTTCATGTAAAATCTTTTTAATATGTTGTTGATTTGCAAGGATTTTTTTATTATGGTTTTTTTTATATATGTATAATAGACACAAGCTTGGCCACAATCTCACCTGATGTTAAGCGAGGATGTGACCGATGGGACGCGTTTGCCTAAAAAATGCCTATTCACTCTAGCCTTGAATAGCCCCAAATTGTACTTTTCGGGAAATACAGATTAGTAGAGCATTCCATTCCTTTGCCGTACGCATCAGAAAGGAGGAAACAAAGCGCTTAGTGCGAATAGGTGGAATATCAACGACATAAGAATGGAGTGCTGCGGAGTCGACCGAAGGAGGACCGGTGAGGGCGGAACCAAATTGAAAAGTTTCTGCGCACACTCCCCGAAATATATCCGATAGAAAACCGACAAGCAGGCTACTTTTCTGCGATGATCGAGATTTTGAAGCTTCGACTCCACAAGAGAATTATAGTTAATAAGTTTCTTTGCTTTTCGCTCCTCCGAGTCCAAGGCAGCTAACTGGTAATGGGCAGAGCCATCCCAAAGGTGGCAGCAGTACTCCATACAGGATCAAACTTGTGCTTTATACAGATTTAAAAGCTGTTCAGGTGTGAAGTACCGCTTAGCTTTCAGACTCAGGTTCCACCGGGTGACCATCGCCTCTTGCTTACACTGGATCTCTTCGCTGTTGTCTCGGGCGTCTGGCACATAACTCTCTACCATTGAAGATACCGGGCATCAGCAGCAGGTCGTTGATATGCAGCAAGAATAGAGTGGTCGAGAGGACAGATCCCTGAGGTACACCGGCATTTATACCATGAGGAGCAGACGAGGAACCATCTACAACTACACGGATTAACCTATCCTTCAGAAAATCGCCTATCCATGTGTAAAAGCCAACAGGAAATCCGTAGGCTGGAAGCTTGTTTAATAGGCTATCATGCTAAACCCTATCAAAGGCCTTGGAAATTTCGAGAGACACGGCAAGCGATTCACCGCGTTTCTCGACAGCCTCGCTCCATAAATGTGTGGCATACGCAAGAAGATCCCCAGTAGGTCGACCACGGCGAAAATCACATTGTGGATCACTGAGGAGATCGTTATCTTCGAGGTATCCACGGAGACGCTGTTCAATACGCGCTCCATAGTCTTACAGAGTATGGAGGCGATTGCGATAGGTCAATAATTAGATGGGTCGGCATGACTACCTTTCCTAGGTACAGGCTGTACATTTGCAAGCCTCCAGGTTTTCGGGACTTTTCCAGAACTCATAGAGAGGCGATACAGGCGAGTCAACACCGGAGACAAGTCGGGTGCACAGTTCCGCAGTACAATCGCTGGGACTTCGTCAGGGCCACTGGCTTTGTTGACGTCTAATTTGCGTAAAGTTTTCAACACCTCTTTTTGATGGATAGTGATTCGGGTATTTCCGAGTCACAGCGAGGTAGTGTAAGTGGTATTTGCAACGTAGCGTCAAGACGGGAGTTGGCAGCAAAAAGAGGAACAAAAAGATTTGCTTTCTCTTCAGCGGTATGAGCCAGCGATCCATCATCTCTCATTAAAGGCGGATGGGATGACCTGCAGAAATTCGCTTCGACCGATTTAGCGAGCGACCAGAATGCTTTACTCCCTGAAGGGTATGAAGCTAACCTGGCCCCAATATGGTCGAAGCGAGCTTTCCGTATCGCTTTTTTGCGTGATCGAGCGGCTTTATTAAAGACTTTCTTCAGACGGAGGGTTTCTGGTGCTTTGCGATCTCGAGCATCAGCCCAAGCCTGGTACGCAAATTGCTTTAGCGTTTCCGCAGAAGCACATTCAGCGTTACACCAAGGGCGAGCTTTGCCGCTGGAGGAGGCTACGGAATAAAGTATTCCATAGACCGAATAATCACATCAGAGACGGCAGACGCGCAGCACGTCGGATCGTCAGAAGAGAAACACAGCTGCCTCCAGGAATAAGATGCAAAGAAATGCCGCATCGCATCCCAATCTGCTGACTTGTATCGCGACATCCTCCTAGTACTTCTCGTACTGAGATCGGGTGGGGAGTAGACAGATACAGATTTCACCAGACAGTGATCGGATGTCCCTAGTGGGGACGAGATCGATACTTGATAGCGGTCTGGATCGGTTGTCAGCAGAAGATCCAGGCAATTGGCTGTGTGGTCGTCAACGTCCGGTACCCGGCTAGCGCAATTCACCAGCTGGGTGAGGTCTAGCGATAGAGCACATGCCCGCGCCTCTCTTCTAGCGTGGTCGGTTTTTTGGTATGGGAACAACCATTCCTGGTGATGGGCATTCAAATCCCCCAAAAAGACAAGTTGCGCTTTAGGATAGCGTTGTTGGACTGTTTTCGCCGAGGTGCAAAGATAGTTGAACAGCCTAGTCGTCTCCAGGTCTCCAGAATGTTTATTATATAAGATAGTTTATTTCATCTACAAGGATTTTTGGTAAGTTATTTCATATGTGAGGAAGTTTATACATCCAAACTCTTTTACTATAATCATTATTACATTGAGATATGTCGTACACAAGATGTGATAATGTGTGCAAAGACTTGTCTTACTTTTATTTTTAGCTACTATTCAAATCATAAGTAATTTCGTCAAACAATTGTTTAACGACATCATTTCGTCTAACGACATTTTTGTATAATTGCCGTGAAAAGCATTAGCATATTGTTATCGCAATAAGTATCAAAATACTTGTTAGTTAGATAGTTCCGCAATTGGTGAAAATATGTATCGATAAAAATTGCGCACAAAATTTAAATTGTTATAAGACATTAATAACGTGTTTCTGGAAATTTAAAACGCGAGTTTTTGCTCTATAGTAACGGAAAATGTAATTTATTTTATCATAATAAGGCCGAACATCCCTTGGTTTTCTTTCCTTTGTGTATAATATAATAATTGCATTAATCGAGAACGTTAGGCTGATTACACGTGGTGCCGTGGCGGCGGCATTTTTTTGCTGCTCCGGCGATGCAAGAGTTACGACGTCATACCGCAGCACCAGCGGTGCAAATGTAGCCAATACGGCGTCATCTACTAAAAATACCGCACTGCTATTACTATAGTGTTATAACTCAAAATACGTGAAATTCAAGATTATACCATTGCGGTACGTAAAATTTGACACTCTGGACATCAATAAAACCGTTATTAGAATATTGTAAGAAACAATTAAAACATATTTGGACAAAGCAGTAATTACTCAATAATATGAAATTACTTCTTCCCTTTTATTTTTAAATATGCTTGGAAAATATCAAGTAACGCCGCCCGCGCTACCGCGATGTGTGTATGAAAGTGTGTATACAAATGCAAGGGCAACTACAACTGCGGTGCCGCTGTTGTTACGGTGTCGTGTCCAAAAAGAGCCTAATACGTCGAGAAATTAACCAGTTGCTGCTACCTGATAGAAATATAGATAGAGCCTCAGAAAAGGCTCCTAATTTATTAAGTGTCATGGCATTGTTCGATGTACAATAAAAAAAAGAAATTCGCTCCGTAAACTCGTTCGCTATTTCTGTCTTTTGGGTGGATAGTACAGTCAAGAGCACGTCAAGCTTGACACTTTGTACTTTGGACTGTTCTTATCGTAAGCGGCATAGAGTAGGATTTAAATCTTAAGTGTCAAGCTTGACATGCTTTTGACCCTGTACAATCTATAAGTAAATAATTTAAAAAATAATATTTCTGTGTTATTATTATTACTATTTCGGTTATCTATTTAATTATTATTTCTATTATCTATTTCGTCTCTCCTTTGGCCTGAGTTTTCAAATGGGATTCCCCGACTGTAACACATTCGGCGGGTTTTTTTAGAACCTCGGTGACTCAGCGGCTAGCATTGGCGCTAGATGGGGAGGTTCCAGGTTATATGTTGGTCCCACTGGGAGTCAAATATCTGTATCGGTATGCTGAAGGCACAAAAAAGGCGTTAAAAGCCAAAAAACAAAGATCTGCAACAAGCACAATAGAAAAATTCGTAAGATCTGCTGGGTCGTTGCGAAGCTCAGATGGGAGAGCCAGACACGGTATGCTGAAGGCGTTGGTTCGAATCCAGTTGGATCGAAGGAGTTTTCTTGTGTTCGATCTTTGTATTAATAATTATAAGTTAATTATCACTTACATGCCTGCCTAATCCGTAATTGTAAGTTTGGCGGATCGTGGGAATGTCATCAAAAAGCCGCAGTATCATCCGTGAATGAGACAGCTGGGACCCAGCTTTCTGCCAGCCTTTGTCATTGCGGACACACCCATAGAGCTTAAACGCATAACATGCTAGACGGACAACCTGGAACAAGAGATTTTTTTTAAACGTAATTCACTGCTTTTCAAGAAATGACCTGAACCATAGATATATAGTTAATAAATATGTAAATTCATTAATTTACAGAGTAATAATATTTTTCAATTAGTAGTAATAACATAATAACAATGCAAACTCATAGCCCCGCACTAGGGAAACCCTATATCGCAGATGTCACGGACACTCGCATAAGACAACCACAAATTACACCCAAACCTTGGACAGAAAAAATGTTGTTGTTTATGATGTTAGTAATATCTGCCGTGCACGAACTAAAACGCGGCAAAGTGCTAAATGATCAAATATCCGTTTTAAATAACAAAATATAGAGCACAAAACTCTCTTTTAAAAACAGTTAAAATTACTTAACTAATTAATTAACCTGTTTAATTAATAATTTATTTAATTAAGTAACATGTGTTTATTAATTAACGTGTTCGAATTATCGGAACTTACCCTAATGTAAATTGCATAACTGAAATATCATTAAACAATTTCAATATTCCGAAACTGGGTTGTCGTTTTTTATTATATATCTAAAAATTTTTTGTCACCCCGTTTTAGTTAGCGGGCGGTGGTATAGTCCCGTGAAGTTGTTAGTATTTTAAAAATAACCGTGTATATATAAAATGAAATGAAAAGTGGACACATCGACTCAGTAGTATAATACTATTGTTTTATGCAATTCCATATGCGGAAATCAAAGTCATTTATATCTAACCCTAAACTATATGCTCACCATTGTTTTGAGCCTACTAACAACCTGTGTAAATGTCCAGACATTGCTATTACTAACAAGATAAAGTATTTAGGTGTTATATTAGATGACATCCTATCCTTTAAACACCATATCGAAGCACTAAGCGCCCGACTCCGTAAGTTAATGTTTGTGTTTAAAAAACTACGCGTTTCTGCTGATTTTAAAATAATCAGGCAAGTTTATTATGCATTATGCCAATCATTAATTACTTACTGCATTACATCATGGGGTGGTATAGCTAAAACTACTTTACTAATCATTGAAAGAGCCCAGCGAGCTGTCCTAAAGGTTTCTACCTACCGCCCTTTCCGTTACCCCACTGACCTTCTGTATAAGTCATGTAAAGTATTAACTGTAAGACAATTATTCATTAAGTCCACATTCCTCAAACAGCACGTATTGCTCCCATATATTACTGAAAACACTAATAAAAGACGAAAAGATATTGTCTGCCCCAAAATTATATCATCAAAACATACTTTTATTTCAAGATTTTTTGTGTTTCTTGGACCATTTTTGTACAATAAATTAAACGCCAAATATTCCATTTATAATTTCTGTTGCTATAAGGTAAAGAAAATTCTCCAAGAAGCTCTTCAAAATATGTCCTATGAGGATACAGAGAATTTATTTATTATCGTAAATTAAATGTTGTCTTGTTTAAGTGTACATTTTTTATTTATTTTTTTAAATTTTTTTTATTGGCAATTTATTATTTAATTGTTTAATTTTATTTCATAAGATTCTCCTAAAAAGTATTTATAATATTAATAGTATCCACATTTATAATTAGTAGTACTTTTTACCTGAAATACAGGAATTTCCTAGTTCAGGTACATGTGTTATTTTTACATTAAATCGCATAAGTAGTCTTTAGTTTTCTCTGTACATTATGTTACTGAATAAACAATTTTATTTTTATTTTATTTTTACTATATATACTATAAATAATATTCTTGGCTTCTTGTTTAAGTTCTTCGTAATTATAATAATATAAATGTATCTTTGAAAAGTCAGTTCAACAAGAGAAGGTGTACCCAAAAGTGATAAGAATAGGACACAGTGCACAAACGCACCAAAACAAAATATTTTTTGTTACTTTTTTTGTGTTTTTGCAGTGTTTTTCTATACAGAGTCACCAGTGTACCAGAAATGTCTGAGTTAATTGTTGATAAATGACTGATTATATTGAATCTGGGAAACTTATAATGATTTTTTATATGCACCTTTACAGTATCTTACATGATATTAAGTTATGGGACAAACAAGCTATATGCCTGGTGGTAAGGGACAGGTTTAAATCATAAAACCTTGCACCTAAATGTGTCCAAATGGTGAAAGAGTATTTATTTGACATTAGCAAATTTTGCAACTGCTATAATATACAAGTCAATTGTTTATACTGTTAGTGTAGATTACAATAGATTAAAAAACAATCTTTCTATCTCATATCACACACAGATAGCTTTAATGAAGATAAGCTCATATACAAAGTCTGCAATGGCATTGATTATGAAGAAATATATACAAATAGAAACATAGCAATAGTACTTATATAAGATAATAAATAAAAAGAAGAAAGAAATTATTCATTAATGCAATTTACATATCGTCATCTTAGAGTGAAAACCACATATGTGATTTCTATGTAATTTTTCAGGCGGAGGATAAAGATGTGGTGTAAAATGTAGTAAACGCAATAATGTTTGTAGTTAGCATTTTAATTACTTAAATTATACCTCTTTCAGATACTATATTACTTTAATAATATATTTGAGCAAGAAGTTAAGTTTTTCTTCAACAAAAATCAGTAAAAATTATATTCTAATATACATTATATAAGGCATTTAATCATATAATAATAACGATATATACCAGTTAAACCACCTATTACTTGGTCTCAAATGAAGGAATTCCCTATATGGGTACCAGAATAGAACAAGCAGACCAGAGCCATTTAGAAAAGTTAATTTCCCAAATATTACTGGGAATCGAACCTGGGCCTCCTCATCCAGGGCCCACATTACAAATTATTGAGGCTCCGAGGTCATCAAGTATGTCACACGAAAAGATTTTTCTTCAAAATTGGCATATTTATATCAACAAATTAAATGAGTTAAATGCAGGATATTTAAATTTTTTTCTTTAGTGCCATATAGATACTTGTTATTAATTTATTTCTTAAAATCACAGAACTTAAATGTGCCGGAAAACAAGATACTTTATTTGAATAACTTCAGGGTTGTTTATTGATAATAATAAGCCTGACTGGATTGACAGTAACCTATAACAATAGGTTACTGACATTTGTTAACCACCTAAACGACATTATAATAGCAAGGTAGTTTTACTTCCGCATACTATACCTTGTCTCTTCCACTATAGCTGTCCAGGAGCTCGCAAATATCATCCATTACCGACGACATTTTATACAAAGCTTCGCGATGCAAGTATCACCATATAATAATGGAATAATCAGTTATTTTCACTAATAACTTATCTCGGGAAAGTGGCGTGACCGCAGCGAGGTCCGCTACGTGCGATTGTACAGATTCGAGGCTGTTAACTATTACATTTTTCTTGCCTTTCACTGTAAAGCCGTATACCTTGGTGACTTTCGGACAGGTAAGCACGACCAGCTGATAATGACGTTGACACTTACACTTTTTTTTATTTCTATACTAAATTAATAAATTCATAATTATGTATACACACAGACATTATTTCATCTATTATGTTAAATAAATTTCATAATAAATGTAAAAGTGTAATAAAAATAGCTGCCTAACTACTGATGTCATGAAAAGTAGAATCGTTATCTCTTTTTTGTAAATATGTCAAAGGGCGCAAATAAACGAATATAATTTATGAACGAAAACATCAAGTTTTTTTGTTTATTGTTGTAAGTGAATTTTCTTCGTATTTTAACATTTGTCTCGTATTATTTCAAGTACTACAATGAAAATTTGATCATCATGAAGGTGTTCTCCATAACAGATATTCCTGAGTTTTCTAAAAAAGAGCGTATTGTAGTGGTTGGTGTAATTGGAAAATCGCCTTATCGGTATCCAAACAAAACAACACCGCTTTTGCCGTCTGTACAATCTAAGGAAGTAAGTTTTCGTTTAAATTTTCTGCTTTTACTGTTAATTTAATTCTCTCAGAACGCAAAACTCATTTTATACGACATTTGCTACAAATTGATAACCTTAAAACTTCTACCTACAGAACGGTATAGAATGTCATTGGGATGAGCGTCGTAGCGTTCTCTATCTCCACGCGTTAACATATCTCGACACTGTACGGCTAGCAGAGCTGGCAGCTAACCTCGACGAGGATTCAAAGACTGCGGAAACAGATGCGGATGCAGCAAATTGGCTTGTTGCCTCTGGTGAACTGGCCACGGAGTCCTGCCGCGCTATAGCACTTCTATTCCATTTATGTCATATTGTGGTGTTGTCTTCTCCAACACCTGTGTTTGATATTGGATATTTGCAGCTATTTAAAGCTATTGATGCTTTTCGGTAAGTAACAATACATTTTAATTTTTTTTTATCATTTAAAATGTCCAAGTTTAGTGCTAGCACTTTGCCTTTTATTTTTACTCAAAAATTGATTCTGTACAGTCAGCAGCACATTAAGCTACACATTTTTGTTTGAATATTGCCATTATGATCTGTCAATGTGTAGCTTGATATGCTGCCGTCTGTACATGACCAATTCTGCAGGTTGGTATTTTTTATTAGAATTTATTTCAAATTCTTTATTTAACATAAACAATTAACTTAAATTAACATTTAGCATGTCAACAGTACAAAATTTCTTATCAAAGTCATTCACTACTTATATTTAATATATTACATAAATAAATTTAAAGATTTGCACATACACAAACAATTAAAATATTAATTTAATAATAATGTATTGTTATGAAATAAACTGCATAAGTAAGAAATTATCAATAGACACATTAAATGTCACAAAATAATGAGCATTTTTTTCAATGCATAAGGTCAAAATATTCATCAACTGAATGGAATGGATTTTCAATTAAATTTTTTTTATCTTTCTTTTGAATTCTAACTCGGGCAATTTGAATATAGTTGGTAGTAGTTCATTGTGTAATTTTATCTTTAGACAGTAACCTTGCTTAGCAGTTCTTTTCAATCTCGTTTTTGGTACTGTCAGTTTGTCTTTGTTTCTAGTATGATAAGTGTGTACATCTCTGGTTCTTCTTAACTTATTCTTCTTTTTGTGTACTTCTTTCAAGGAATTTAAAATAAACAA